AAAATGCTGATCAATTTCAAGAAGAAAAAAATAAAAACAGCAGAAAACTAATATAGGCAAAAGAAGAAGAAGAAGCAGCAGCTTCGTTAAGGGGCCAACTAGCAAAAAGTCAGCGTGTGTGAAATTGCTGGGCCGCAAACATACAAAGAGGTGAATACAACAACAACAACAGCAAAAACAATAAGCGAGTGGTTCGCGTTTGATTACAAAACTTCGACAATTTGCCACAATTTGAATGAGAGGGAGAGAATGGGAGAAACGCCGCGATCCGATATAATTTGGAAACCTTTGCGATGATGTATGATATTTACTTTGATTTCGGTTTTGGGTTTGCCGCATTGCGCAAATGGCTACCTAAGATGAAGATGATCATGATGATAATGATGATATTGTTGCTGTTGTGGCGGATGTGGCATGTGCCTCGTTGCATCTCGATAGGATGTTCTCTATTTAGCATATTCATTGTTGATTGCAGTGCCATGATAATTACAATTCCTCGTTTATATTCTGGTTGCCAGTCTTTTGTTTTTGCCTTTAATTACCTTCCTCTTTTTGTTGCTGTTGCAGTTGTTGCTGTTGTTGCTTTGCATAATTGCATTGTTGTTGCCGAAATCATCATTAGAACTTTTATTTGCACAATAATCAGCTAGCTGCAGCTGCATTGTGTTTGTGCAACGCCAAAAAAAAAAACAAAAAATAAAACCAAAAGGAGCCGCCAAAAATGGACTGAAAAAAGCCCGTACTTAAAACCAGAACAATGAAAACTTAAATCTGCTGCCAAAATGCGTTTATCAAGTTGCGGTCTGTTTAGGAGAAGTAATGTGTTTTTAAAGAGGATATTGTTTTTGAAAAATGTGCACTCCAAGTGATTTAATGATATGGGCATGGCTTCCAAATAGGAACTGCCTCAGATTGCAACATCACTGAGCAGTAACTTGAGGTACTTGAAGTGCAGCCTTGAATTTAGACACAAGTGTAATGATTGATATTGCTAATGTGAAATGAATGAGCCTCTTTGAGTCTATACTAAGACATATTCCCATGCAATTTGATGAATGACTTCGACTTGTCGCTAAGAATATAAAGAAAATATAGAACTTTTGTCTAAGAAACTCCCAGGCCGTTATTAAATAAGCATTACGCAACTTATTTTATTAATTATAGTTGGCATCTTTTGATCGCATTAGCACCTGAGCGAAACAAAAACCCAGCATAGCAATGAAAAAACCACTTAAAAAGGGCTAATGTCCCATAAAGCTGACAGCAGAATAAGGCGACGACGCACATAGCAAATCATCTGGGGCACCATCAACAAGTGTCAACGCCAACAATGCAACACAAGACATATTCACTATACATATATGATATGTATAGATATATATATATATACATATAATTACTTTATCATTGTTTTCGTCACGTCTTTAAACCTATTTTAAAGAAGCCGCTGCTGTTGTTTGTTGTTTGTTGATGTTGATGTTGCCACCTCCGGATGGTTAAAAGTCAAGGTTAACGGCGGCCAGCCAAATTATCCGGACGTTCAAGATGATGGCACATGTTGTGCCGACAGCAGTCTGCCCCATTCAAGGGCAGCCCAAGTCAATTTTTAACGGTTCCACAAAAAAAAAAATATAGAAATACAAATACAAGAAAAAAAAACACAAGAAATATAATTTGCGGCAGCGTGTGAAAAACGTACTAAACTCTAATAAAATATGGCCACAAGTCATTGGAGGCTTAAGCTGTGGAGCTATATTAATTGCACGCCACAACAGTTTAGTTGAGTTGAGTTCAGTTTGAGGTCCATTATGAAATGCCAAGCACCAACGCCTAATGATAATAGCAATTGTAAATAAAAACGAAATCAAGCTGAAAGCAACCTGCTGCCATTTTGAGTCGGCGCCAGTCACAACAGCATTTTTAGACTTTTCTTGTTTGCAACCAATGGTGGCAGTTGCAATGACTTGCGCTGATTAAGGGAATTTCTCACAGACATAAAAAATAAAATAAATAACTGTACAACTGAACCAAGAGCCAAACCAGCAGCAGCAGCAGCAGCCGCAGCCGCATTGCCAAACGTCGCTTGTTGTTGTCATAGTCATAGTTGTTGTTATTACTTGTAGCTGCTGCAATGCTTTTCTCGAAGGTGAACCAGAATGAGTCTCAGTCTCAGTCTCAGCCTCAGAGACTTAGTTGAAGTCTCCGGCTCCGTCTCAGTCTCAGTCACAAGATTCGTCTCTGTATGCGCTTCATTTGAAGCTCATTGAAATCCACGAACTGAAGTCGACAGTGGCCGTCGATATATTATTCCTTGGCTCAATTGCTCCCAACCGGATTGCCACTGCACATCTTTTGAAAGTGAGCGGCTGCTGCAGCAACAACAGCAGCAGCATCAATTCTAGAGCGAATGTCTGCTGCAAATTTATTGCTGCATTTGATTTTAATTAGTTTAATGTATGGTAATTTATAATGGAAATTAAAGTGCGGCGTGGGTTTGTTAGCATTAGGGATTTGCGTAATTAAAGCGCTTAAGCGGCATCCGGCACACAGTTTAGTTACTCAATAAGAAATTATTAAGCTGTTGACTTAGATCATAAAGTGTATAGGTTGCTAAATTTAAATAGTTTGTTAAATATTTGTCAGGATTGGTTCAAAACTCAATATTGAAAGTTAGTTGCCTAAGTCTTCTGTTTGCTCTCTTCAAACTGCAGTTATGTTGAATAAAATAATCGTCCATCACACTGTTCATAAATACTCAATAGCCTCACCTAGAATCAAATAAACTTCTTTTATACTTGGACAAATATATTATTAATTTATCATTTTTCCATTTATCAACTTTGTATTTTAATTTTGTATTTAATAAATTAATAAAGTGCAGCTTTTCACTCCAAAGTAATTCGCTTACAAGTTCGTTGCATAAGACTTTTGTTTTCCCTAGTCAAAAAGCATATTTATTGAATGAAGCACTCGCTTCGAATGAAAGATCTTCTTATATCCACTTATAAACTTGATTAATGATTTGCTCTAAAGTAAATCTCAACTTGCTTTTCGATTCCATTCACTTTTCATACGGCAAGTTTGTTGCCTGAGTCATTTTTTAAATATGCTATAAAATATCCATTAGGATTGCCTGGAATCCCATAATTTACTCCCATTCTTGGTCAAATATATTATTAATTTTCCCTTTTATCAACTGTCAAATCTGTCATTATATTTAATACTATTGCTACTATTAAATAATAAGTAATCGGCTGACAAGTTTGTTGCCTAAGTCTTTCGTTGTTATCACAACTAAGCGCCACTAATTGCAACAATTTCGTTGCAGAGCCCCATTTAAAAAATCTTACCGTATTTACTTTGCAGGTTGTTGCCTAAGATTTTCATTTGGCATTCATCAATAGCTCAAAAGCGCAAATAAAAAATCTGCACTAGTTTTGGTGTTTTTTGAATGTTGTTTCTTTTTTTATTTTTATTTTTTTTTGCGACACAAAATATGTGCAAAAAACGTAAACAAACAAAACAAAGCCTCAGCAATGCTGCAATGAGGCGATGCTGCGGCATCTTCCACAACAACAACTATTTAGCGTTGAATGCGAGCGTAAGAGTTGGAGAGCGCCAGAGAATTGAGCGCCAATTGTACGATGATTTAGTTTCAGTTTCGGCTGCCGCTCGTCGAGCTGGCGATGACGATGACGATGAGTTTGCTCTTTGGCAATTGCGGCGTTGGTGGCTTTTGGCCGCTTCTCCGACTCCACTGACGATGACGCTGTGCATTTTGTGTGTCGGACCTCGCTCATCTGTTGGCCCCCAGCCGACTGGCAAACGTTGCCGCGCTCGACCTGCTCTTGAGTATAAAACAAAAATTGATGCGAAATTTTTTCTAACTTTTGCATCAACTCCAAACGCGGCAACACGTGCAGCACTCGCAGCTCACAGATCGCGACCCAAAAACGTATGTCCAAAAAAATACAATCAACAAAAAACATATCAAGAGTTTTTCAAGTGTGCGGTTAAGTGCGTGGCTTTCATGCTGAGATATTAATTACGTAAACTTTACAAAGACATTTAAACCAATAACAATAACAAATCATAATGACTATTATGTATTCCAAAGGATTATTAATTTGAAAGGAATATTTAAAGGATGTAAATTAGCAAAATCAACAAGGAACACTTAAATTTGAAGAAATATTAAATGTACAATGATCCATTAAAAAAAGCACAAGGAACAATTAAAGAATAATACTCAAAGAAAATATTTAAAAGATTTAAAAGAAGTGCAATATAAAATAAATAAAGGAAGAGGGAAGACTTAAATAGGCTCAAATATAATAATTATCTAAAGCTATCTCTCATAAACAACTGAATGTTAGAAAATCTATCACATTTATATTTTTTTTATTAATATTTCAAGATTTCTCGAAGTTCTAATTGCCTCTTTAAATCGATATTCATTAAATTCGCACACAATCTCTTAATTAAGTTAATTCGAATAATACCGAGAATTAGACTTGATGTAATTATCACCCAAACACTGCACATGTAAAGCTAACCATTAAACGTAATCAAAAAGCAATATAAAAACGTATACAAAACTAAAATCAGCGCCAAGTGGCAAGAAGTGAATGTTGTGTGGCTCAGCAGCAGCATCGGCTCCTGGCTGGGCCAACAAACCACCGAACCACAAATGCCCATTACCATTCGTGGCAGCATTAATGCATCATTCAGAATATAAAATATAAAATGCAATCTAATTATATGGCAAGTCAAGTCAGCAAAAAAAAAAACAAGAAACAAAAAACAGCCACAGAAGAAATCGCGCTTCTGCTTGGGTCGAGTGCAATTTTCCAATTGCAGCTTCCTTTCTAAAAATACACACACACACACAGGCACACACACAGGCACACACATAAGGTGCAAGCATATAACATCTAATAGCACTTAGCTTAGCTCGTCTCTTCTCTTTTTTCTCTCTTCTTTTCGATTTTGTATTTTAGATAGCAAAACAACAACGAAACAGACACAAAATCACATTTAAATTACGTATACGCCGCTTAGCCGTATAAACCCAACAAATAACAGACATCATGGCAGCCGCAACAACAGCGAACAAATCACCACAGCTACAACTGCAACAACGACAAGAACAGCAACAACAAGTTAGCAGACAGCAGCATCTTCATCTAGCAGCCAGCAGCAGCAGCAGCCGCTCCTCCTTCCCCTCTGCCGCCGCCGCCGCCACCCGCAACATCTTTGCCTCCTGCATGTCCATCGCTTTTGTTGTCGTGTTCGCCGCTGTGCTGCTGGCAGGGAACTGTGTCAATGGGGTAAGTTTCGGGGGCAAGGGGCGCCACATGATGCCAACGCGGCAACTACTTATTTGCGGGCAATGGAAACCCTTTTCAAACTGCCCTCCTGGCTGCCTGACTGCTTGACTGCCTGCCTCGATTTGTCTATTTATTGCTCTTTGTCAATTATCTTGCAGTTTATCGTTGAATATTTTCTTTCTGCGACGCTCATAAAACTTTATAAGCCTGGGAATAAAATTGAAAACAATTTTACAACGTTACATAAAATTTGATCACTTCATTAGCTGTAGAACCGACATATCATGAGCAGCAGCAGTAGAAGCAGCAGCAACCGGGCAAAGTGGTACCAAAAAAAAAAGGAGAAAAATAAGTGTCATCTTAGATAATTTCCATACTCATTCAAAGTAAAAGATTGCGCACACCATTTGTCTCTTGTCTGATAGCGATCTACACACAACTAACAACAACAATAACAACAACAAACTCCCACGCAAAGTTGCCGCCGCAGTCGCCTTAAAAGCAACAACAACAATGCAATTGTTGCCACAAAAAAAAAAGTGGACCAAAAAAGTCGACTTTTTTTCTAGACATGGCTGCATGCGATTTTGCAAGTGCAACGACAACGACGTCGACCTGTCTGCAAAGTGTTAGACATCTTCTCACGTCTGCGACGCCACACACTGCACACACACACACACATAAATACACACAAATACACACGGAGATCTCTCAACTCCCCCTAATTCCCCATTGCCCATTTTCCACTTAAGACTCGTGGGGCTCAAGGTGTCGTCATCGTTTGCTTTTTTCTTCTTCTGCTGCGGCGTTCGCTTGTGGCCTCTTTATTTATCTGTTGAACCCATTGAAAATGGGTATAATGTCATAGTGGAAAAGTATGTAACAGGAAGATTCAACATTGATTGATATATCGGAGTGATCAGCATTGACAGCCAACTCAATTTAGCATGCCTCACCTCAATCCCAGAGACTATTCGTGCTACAGGCCCAGAAATCTTCGTATACTTGCAGTTCGCAGTTCAAGTTTATTTCATTTTATTGATAATGTAATCTCTTTCTAAAATATATAGATGATAATCGATATCTCAAATCAATCTTAGAGAATATAAAAGCTAGAACGTAAAAAAGACTCGTATACCTTGAATAGTTCAGGCTTATTTCATTTTATTGACATCAAAAAAATGTTATATTAATATTTATTAAGTTCATATTAATATACAAATATTTTGTATGTAAATGTTGAAACATGCATGTATCAAATGTGTTTCCATTTTTCAAACTATTAGTTTCAATATTCACGCTGACCTATGTTAGATGAAGATATGGGTTCAGGGTATTTGCTAGTCGAACTCTTTCGACAAGAGCATTTTTACTTGTGTTTTCGTTGTTGTTGTTGTTGTCTTTTATCAATTAGCCTTGGTGAACTGCTCGACACAGCAACAACAACAACAACAACAACAGCAAGCAAGAGCAACAGCAAACAAGAGCAACAACAACAGCAACATAAAAGAAAGGAAAATTGGCCGCTTTTGTTATTGGAGACGTCTTCGTCGTCGTCGTCGTCGTCGTCGTCGTCGTCGTCGTCGTCGTCGTCGTCGTCGTCGTCTGGTATTTAAACAGTCCAAGTACCTTAGAGAGTTGAGTGTTGCCAGGGCGGGAATGGGAATGGGTTTTGGTGGTGCTATGCAACTGTGGGTTACTGAGGCACTGGGTGCTTGTTGTTGCTGCAGTTGAAAATGTTAAGAGCTCAGGAAAGTTATTAGCGTGCTGCAGGAAATTGCACTGGTTATAAAAGAAAATCAAGCTGTTAAATTGTTTGGTAATCGCGCTGGGCATAGTTATGGCAGAGGAGTTGAGCAAGCATCGAGTTAGCATCGAGCACTTGTCGAATATTTAGCAAAAATAACAATACACGCACAAGACGACCTTTACACGATTTTATCATATTGATTTCGAAAATACATTTAATATTTAAGCACGCACTTTGCACCAAGCAAATTTTAACAAGCAAAAATCGCTTAGCGAGCAAAATGCGACTTGAAATAAACTTTAGATTGAGTTTTTCCGAGAATTGCGTATAATTTATAGTTATATTTCCCACAAGTTATACAATATTTAAAAAACTGCTCATCTGCATAAATCAAATTAGAGAAACAATAAAAAAAATGTTAAATGCAATTGCATTTTAACTTCACAAAAGATTTTAGTTACACGCCTTGGCAAAATGGATTTATTTAAGCGCAACGCATCTGAAGCAGCAGCAGCAACAGCAGCAGCAACAACAACAATGAAATTATATTGAGATTTGCCATTGTGGCAAGATCAAGATAGGTAAAAGATGGACCAGTGACATGCAACATGTTGCACAGAGACACAGCCACAGTCACAGCAGTGATATGAAAATACTGTGGCATCATTTTTGCAATGGATTTATTTATGAATGTTGAACTGGTGTTGAACAACAAAAGAACAAAGTGTCGAATATCTATTATGGGAATGTCAGGGCATGTGTGTGTGTGTGGGAGGGTGTGTGTGTGTGTGATGTGTGTGTGTGTGATATGTGTGTTGGGGTTGCCACTTGGCCACGCTTTGTTGCTGGTGGCCGCTTTTCATGGTTTCATACGCATGAGATTGACAGTTCTCTGTTGGTTTTTAAAGAGGTTTTATTGTCACACACACACACACACACACACACACACTCTTACACACACACAGCCACCCGCAATTGCACCTTTTCAACACTCACTGATTCTTTTGTTGATCTCTAGTCAGGTTTTTTTTTTTGCTAACTTTTCGACAGATTTTTTGGCGGATGCATTTGCATTTCAAATTTGTTTGGTTGTGTTTTTTTTCTGTCTCTTTTTCACATTTTGGCGTGTAGTAAATTTGTGTGTGGCAATTGTTTCAAGCTCGTAATTTGTTATTGTTTAGACATCATTTTTCTGTTGCTTTGCCATGATTTAAATGTGCCCTGCTTGAGCAATCATCAGGGCAAAAAACAATAAAAAATACAACAACAAAAACCAAACCCAAGGAAGGTCACTGCAATTGCACTCGATGAGATAATTCACATTCCCATAGAATATTATGCACAAAAGTCGCATCTCATTTTGTCCAACTCTCGTTGCAGCAAATTGATGGCTACATTGCTGGCGAGGATTATCCAGCTTATGATGTGGTGCCCAAGGGTTTGGCCTTCAACTGCCAAGGACGTCAGCCAGGCTACTACGCGGATACCGAGACAAGGTGTCAGGTAAGGTGTTCGTTTCAAAATAGTCTTAGATAGAATTTTAATCGTATGCTCAATTAAACGCAAACTAATCATAATATTTGTGGATTTTCAAAGGTATGGCACTGGTGTCTGCACTCTGGCCATCAATACTCCTTCCTCTGTCCCAATGGCACCGTCTTCAATCAGGCTGTGCGAGTCTGCGACTGGTGGTCAAATGTGAACTGCGAGAGCTCGGAGCAATTGTATCAGAATAACGATGAATTGTATCGCATACCGGAGCGTAATCAACAGCAGCAGCAGCAGGATGAGGTATGATATAAGGCTGATGATGAGTATAAGATTGGGACAGCGAAACGACAACGAGGTGGCAGACAGCGTCAGTTTGTGGCACAGCAAAACACAAGGAACATCAGCAACATCAGCAACAACAGCAGCAGGAGCAGCAACAATATAGATAGCAACCAGCACAACAATAAGAACAGCAACAGGATCGTAGATAGCACCGCAAAAATTAACTACAATAAAATGACCAAAAATAGTTTTAGAGGCAGCATGAGATACACAAGCAATCCATCTCAGTCGTCATACTCATCATCACAGCAGCAACAGCAACAACAGCAACAGCAACAATATAATTCTAGTATAAATAGCGAATATCAAAGTAGACAAAATGGCAGCAGCAGTAGCAGTAAGCAAAGAAGTAGAAATTATAGTGGTAGAAATAAAGGTAATCGTTATAGCATAGGCAATATGCCCACTAGACATAAAGATCGCACCTCAAACACACATCAACAACAACATCACAGCAGCAACCACACCAACAACAACAACAACTACAACAGCAAACATCGTGGCACTCAGCGCTATAATTTGAATAAGTTTGAAAACGATGATGAGCTTAAGGATTATAAGAGCAAAATCAAAAACAAATACAACATCGATTATGATCATTCTTTGGATGAAGAATATGAAATAATTGACGCCATTGAGTGAATAGAAATCAATAAAGAACATCTCAGAAAAAGGATTGTAGTTGTTGTTTCGAGGCAAGAAATGAATTTACTGCAAGAATTGCTTATCATTTGTAAAATCCTCTCACCAGTTGGCACGTTTCCCAATTTTAGTTTTGTAAATATGTAATTTCCTTAATCCATTTATGTACCTGCAACAGAAAAGAATAATAAAATTTGTATAAAATAAATGAAATACCTTATTTTCTGCTGCATACTTTTGGGCTTTACAGTTTAATAGATGCGACTTAAAAGCTTAGAAGCTGTGACTTTGTGGGCTGGCTTTCAGCTGACTGTTATAAAACTGAAGCACAATTTCAGCGGTTCTATTGTCGTCTCTTTTTAAATCTTTCTTGTTACTTTTAAAGCTCTGCTTGCAGATCAGCTGCTGATCATATGGCTGGTCAAAGCTTTCATTGGAAATTTTGGCTTTCCAGCTTCCAATTGTCAAAGTTAGCTGCCTTTATTTTTTGTGTCTGTTTTTTTTTTTGTTTACTTCACAACAAAATGTGCACGAATAGATAACAATGAGGTAAATATGATTTTAGAGATAAGCATGCGTTAAAAAGATGTTATGGTTTATAATTATGTGATTTAAAGAGATTATAAATGGCTTACGAAAGACTGTGCTTTACTGTGCCTGACTGGAAGCGTTGTTTGGGAAACATGTTTTTAATGGTAAGCGGTGCTTTATTGGACACGCAGTCAGCTTGAGAATAAAACCAAAATGCAAAGCAGAAGCAATTGTTTAAAATTTGATTGCAAATATTATTTATTTAGATGCCTTTGTCATTTCGAATAATCGAAAAGAATCTAATATTCGAGGCAGAATTAAATATTTTTTTCAGACTCAAGTGGATGACTGAAGCTGAAGTTCTTTCAAGAATATTTAAGTAACTCGACTTCTAACATACTTCCAATCAACAGGTAACAACAACAGAGAAGCAAACAGCATACGGAAACAATTAGTTACAAAATCCAATAAATACCGGTTATTTATGAAACAGGTACACAGACTTTAGGCCTATGCCTAATTATAAGTCAAGTGCCATGTGCCCGTTTATTAGGCAGCCAACTGACACAATTTGTGCAATTAGCGAGTTGAAATGCGTGTCAGCCAGACCAACAATTTGCCTCACTCCACCTAATCCCCAAAAGACAAACAGACCCTAGGCAAGCCACAAAAGACAGACTGACAGACAGACAGACAGACAGATACGTATCTATCTCGCATCTAGTTAAATGTTGGCATTGTGTGTTGTACGTGTCGAGTTGATTGCTTACTTGTTACTTGTTACTTGTTTCTTGGCTGGGCCGTTTCACTTGCTGGTCACCCACATTTTAATGGGTTACTGTCAAGTAGCCAAAACCAGCCGTAATAACAAAAGAAATTATATTATATAATTGCAAATTACTTTAAAAAAAACCCGTTTATAATTGTTACGCTTCGATCAATTAATATGCAACTAAATAAGTGACAATGCGACTCAAGAGTCATGTGATATATAATATATTAAATTAACTACTTATTAAAGTGTAAGCAAAGAAATGGGGATAGAGTCGAGCTTTTCTAGAAGATACCCTATATTCTAAAACTAAACGAAAGTACCGTCTTCAAATAATATCTGTATTTTTTCAAATGTATCCTTAAATTTGTTTGTAATAAGTCGAGGAAAGTTATCAAATTATAAATGTAATGAAACCTCTTTAAACTAAAACTAAATGGCTTTGATAGCTGCAAGGTATGAAAAGTAAACCCAAATTAGAAACCTTACTCAAATAATATCTGCATTTATTTTAAAGATTTCCGTTTATTATTTAGTAATCGCTTTTTATAATTTAAATATAGATTTAGCAGACTCCAGGCCAAAACCTTAACTATTTTCTCAAGTTTTTATATGTAGTTTATGAGCTGATATGTTTCTTATATATGTATATGAAATGTATACTTCAACAGTTTAGTAAATGATATCCATAAATATACCCCTCTTAAGTGCTTGGACAGCTACAGGGTATGAAAGTAAACCGAAATTGAGTGTTTTACGCTTAAGGTGAGAATGTCAGAGGGCCTGCGAAGCTGCCCCAGAAACCGGTAAGCGTAGATATAGACGAGTACGGCGCACTTACCGGACTCCAAGCAACTGACTCGGCAAAAACACAAAGCAAATCTTATTTTCGAGCTGCGTCTGTGCGAATCTACAAGTCTGAAGCTTCAAGTTTTCAGGTGCTCATCTTGTATCGCGAATCTAGTGTCTAGTTTTCAGCCACTTGACAAGTTGACAGTTCGGGTGAAGTGGACGGGGGGGCTGGGGCCGGGATGTCTCTTTGTCTGTGGTTTATTTTATGCGACAGTTCAACTTCAGCATTTACATTAATTTTGCAACGTCAGGAAGAATTCATTTTGGCAGCCGACGCACAACAGACCCCCAAGTGCCACGTCTCCCGGCAATGAAGGCAATCCACTTTTGTCCATTTGGAGACTGGTTTTGGTTGCTTCTTTGTACGCTGCAGCAACTGTGGGTTTTTTGCGCGTACAACTCAAATTAATAAAAATTTACTCGGTTTGGCTTTTTAATGCGCCAAAAACAGCAAAGAGGACTGCAGCCATAGACTCATCCAAACTGAAGTTGATTTGTGTGCTTTAAATAATTGCTGCATTTATCAACTGCTTCGGCAGGGGCAGGGGAAGGAGGAGTGCGGAGACTGCAACTGAAGCCGCTGTCCGGTTGAATACTCAAATCGTACGGCTAAACAGATTGCGTTAAGCGATTGTCAAGTGTATTGAAGATCCAATCGAGTTTTTTGGACCTGAACTTTTGTGACTCTCAACTCAACTGAAATTTGTCCAACTTGACTAAAAGGCAGTGGTGTGGCTGAAAGGGGATTTTAACACAGATTACTTAGACCGAGAAGGTCTTTGTCAAGGTTATTGATTGCGTTCAGGTATGCACTTCAATTTATACCAGGTTACTGTTATTGTGAAGAGTGCTTAAACTAGATTCCAGTTATCCATGCACTTAAAAAGAGATTGGCAGAAAGAGATTGCAATGCGAAGCGTGCATAAATCTTGGCAATGTATGAGAAAAAGCGACCAGATAAGAGATTGGGGTACTCATCTTAGTCACTTATGAGACTATGTATAGGATAAAAGTATTTAAACTCCTCCTCGATGACCTCTGAGTCACTTTTGAAAGTACAGCTAGGATAATAGCATTTCAACTCCTCGACGACTTTCAGTCACTTGAGAGACTCGTGAGCCAGCTCTTGTGCTATTGTTAGTTGACCCCATTTTATACACTTGCCACTCAATCATAAATTTACGAAATTGCAGCCTCATATCATAATTAGTCTAAAAACCTGCTTAAAGGCAAACAAAAATAATACAAATCCAAAGCCTAACACCCTCGCTGCTCCAGTTACGCTAATGAAAAAATCACAGCATTTGATTTTGGCAATCTAATTTGAGTATTGTTGCCGTTATTTATGGCGCTGCTTACCATAATTTATCTGCATCTATATTAGATGGCCGCTTCGCATCAGATTAATTTCCAATCAAATTAATATGCGCCGAACATATACCATATATATATTTTTTTGGTTTTTCTCATTTCTTTGTTTTTATTTTATTTTATTTTGTTTAAGCTTTAACAGCGCGTGCAAATAAAGGCAACATCAATGCAATAGCAACAAAGAAAAATTGTACAAAGCTGCCACACACAAATTAACATAATTAAGGTGCGCGCATAATGATCAAATGACAACGTGAGAGATACCAAAAAAAAAATATATATATATATATATAAAAATAAAACTAAAACAACAGCAAATATACTGAAACTAAAAACTGAAAGCGACTGCCGAGCAGTCGAGCACTTATTACGGAGTGTAAAAGGCCGAAAATAGCGAACAGCACGAAAATTGGAAGCACGAGGGATCATCAACACTATAAAATTCAAATGAGGCGACAACGACAACGACAACAGCAGCAATAACAACGACAACTATATAGACAGAGGCATCAGTCAGGCACGAAAGCGAAATGTGCATCTTAAACGCTACACTAATGCGCTCTACACAATCGATAAAAAGCAGCAACACCAGCAACAACAACAGCAACCACAACAATTGCATAAGCAGCAAAGCGGCGCTTTGCTGAGCGACTCCAAAACCATCGCCTCCAGCGACCTCATTTCAACAAATCGCAATCTTTGCTTTAGCTCATCGAGACCCTAGAGCGAGAGAAATATTCAGAGCTAAGCAGATTTTTATTTATTTATTTGTTTTTTTTTGCTACTATAATATTTGCATTACGCATACGCAACGTTGGCCTTTAAGATGGATGCCATGGAGCTACTGCATGTGCTGTACATCAATATTGTTTGTATATTGAAGATCTATGTGAAATTTGCGCTCATCACGCTGGTCATTTACTTCATAGCCGAGTGGTATATTGTGCGCTATGGCGACGAATTGGAGGCCGAGCTGGATGCCCAAGTGGCCCAAGGGGCGGCGGCCGAAGAGCGTCCGGCCTCAAATAGTACGTTAAATAAAGTTGTTCGCTTCGTTTTGAACTTTTTTATCATATAAGCTGGAAATGGTCTCCCTTAGCAGCAAGGTCAACTCTGTATTCGAAACACGAACACGAACACGAACACAAACTCGAGCTCGAGTTCGAATTCGAATTGGAGCTCGAACTTATTGCGGAATTGCAATTCGCTGTGTGTGCCTTGCTTTTTGTTTTAAGTTGTTAGCGACCGCCAAGGCCTGCAAGAGAATGTAAAACCCAACCAGTTATCATAAGTAAGCAAAACAAAAACAAAAACAATAACAATAACAAACGCGACAACAAATGCATTCTTTTTCATGTAATTACGTACACGACAACAACCTGAAAACGGGTTGAACGACTTTTCGATTTGTTACAAAATAACAATAAAGGCAATTTTGCATGCATTTTGTTCTTTGAGACCTTAACAAATGACTCAAAACAGATTTCATTTTTATGGGTGGGGTTTTTTCTTCTGTGGGGGTTCCACATTAATTTATGAGAAGTCAACACATTGAAATTTGGGGCGAAAATGGGCACAATTGCAACGGTAAGTTTTTATTTAATTTGTTTTGAGTTTGTTGCACATATAAATGTTGACAAATGCCCAAAATTTTTCATTGATCATATTCAATGCATAATTCGTAGATAATCTTTACTTAATTGCCATGTTTATTTTTTAACTATATTCAAAATTTGAGTTCATTAAAAAGTTGCCGACAATTGCCAAATAAAAATTTGCATTGCAAAAATGTTGGCAAAAATTTAACCAATTAACTGAATGTTTAAAAATTGATGGCAACTCATAATTATTAGTTATGCTTAAACAGCAAATGTTTGACTTGAAATTGCCTCAAATGTATTCTTAATAACTGACACAAGCAACAACAATCAAATTCCTCTAACTCTCTAACAAAAACGAATATAATTTTGTTGAATAATCTAATCAATCAACCACTACTTGGATGCTGAATGTAATACATAATCCAACAACGAGTTGGCATTAAAATAAGTGTAGTTCATTTAATTATTAATTGCGCTATCAAATTAAATGGGAAATGTATTTTTTTTTTATTACCCAAAAACTCTGCATAGTTTTAATCAATGCAACTCAGACAGCTGGCAAATGGCAGCTGCTTAACGGTTACAGCATGTGCTAAAAAACTAAAAACTGCAACTTTGGATAATATGTGGCATACCGGTTCAACAGCAGCCCACACACACACAATCACACACTCGCAACACACACAAACACACACGACACATTGCTCCCGTTCTCAGCAGCAGCAACAACAACAGCAACAGATGCACATGGATAGATAAGAGAGCATAGGAAGCAATTGTATTGGATATGAATAGGTGATATAAAGCCACAATCCGACACTCGACAATGTCTGTTTGTGTGTGTGTGTGTGTAGCTTAACTGCGACTCTGCCTGTTGCTGCTCCAATTTGAATACAGACAACAAGCAAAGAGTCGCCACAAAAATCCAAATTCAACTTTCACATGCGCAGATGCAGTGCAACACACTCCAAGTACTTTAGCTCTGTGACGTAACAAACACACACACACACACAAACTGCAGACACAGCCTCAAGTCGGCTTAAAAAAATATGCCATAATCCGCAGTTAGCGCAACAACAATAACAATAACAACAACAACAACAGTAGCAGTAGCAGCGGCAATGGGGAGCAGTTGTTTGTGACCGGTGATTGATTTCATTGTGAGCCGTTCGAAATGCTTCACATTATTTTGCATTCAGTCGATTTAAGATTTAGTCAGTTAATGCCTGTATGTGCGTGTGTGTGTGTCTGTGTGTATGTGTGTGTATAGTTTGTATATGAAATGCCTAACTAAAATTTAATTGTGCACCGGCGCACCACTCGGCGTATGCGCAATAATTCATGAGCCGTTTAAGCAATTTATATGTCTTTAGACAGCGTCCATCGCTTATTGTGTTACGGTTGTTTTCCATGCGACTGTGCGAGTGACTGTGTGTGAGTGTGACTAATAGCAGATGGTTTTGGCCCACGTTGGTTCATTAATTGAAATGCTTAACGCGCTTGTTGTTGTTGTTAATGCTTTTGTTGTTTCATTTGTTTGTTTGTTTGTTTGCTGCAGCAATTTGTTGTGTTATTGTTATTATGTCATTGCGGTCAGTCAGCAAATCAAAACGGTAAGTATTGAAACAATATCAATTGTGAATCGTTAATAGATCAGTCAAAATATATTATATTTGCATGGCAACTGACAAAAGTAATGCGGAAATTAACAAACAGTTAAAAAGCGCATTATACAAATAGAGGAAATAAAATAAATATAGCTCGAAGAGCGTACTAAGTAATCGTACTAAAATATTCAAACAATTTCTTAGAATACTTTTACAACGTATTTAAATTGATATTAAGAAAACCATTCTATAATTAATCATAAATAATTACTAACATTAATGAGCTTTTGAATATTCAAAATTAAAAAAATATTCAAATTGAATATCAAAATTTTTCTTAATATATTTTGCAACAAATTCATTAAATTCAATGGAAAAAATAACTAAAATCTTAATCAGCAAACCTGTTGAGCTGCTTATAAGCTAGAAACGAGCAGCAAGACGTCAACTGCTGCAAAACAAAATAAAAAACAAAAGCAAAATTGAGAAACAACAACAAAAAGAAACAAAAACAAAAAACAAAGCAAAACGGTTGCAGAATGTTGACAGAGGAAAACTGTAACAACAAAAAAAAATGATACACAAAGAAAAGCTCAAGTTTGCTCTCCCAAAGCAAGCAGCTGTTCTCTCTCCAGATATCGCTCTTTCTCTCTCAAACTCTCTCTGCCTCTCCAGTTCGTTCCTGCTCTCTGGCGAGCTGAGCGCATGCGCAAAGCCGCTGCGGCGAAGCGGCAAGAAACCAGTTTCCAAGACATGCGACTGGAAACCAAATTAGCGAGCTAAAAAAGCTTCGATTCGTTTCGTTACCAAAAGACGATTTTATGCCAACACAAAGTTGGCCAACAATCTGCAATTTCAGTCTGCAAACGGTCAGCCAGGTGAACGGCAGCCAAGACAGGTTGGCAACAGTAAGTGGGCGTGGCTAAGAAATACAAAAATAATTCAAACAGACGCTGCGCATGCGCTGCGCTCGCACAAGTGTATATATATCGATCTGTGTGTGTGTGTGCGTGTGTGTGCGTACGTGTGTGTGATTGTGTGTGTTCGTGTGGCATTGTGTTGTAAAAAATTATATAAAATTTATATGGGCAACAAAAAGTTTTTGCAAGCGATTTATTTATGTTAATGCTAATTTGTTGCCAAAATAAAATAAAACAAAAATTAAGCGCATTCAGAAAAGTGTTAAGTGCGCAACTGCAGCTGTATTGGTGTGAAAAACTAATGCCCAAGTGTCGTAATACCTGCTAAGAGTTTTCAGCCAACGGTTTCGAGCCGTTTTATGCAAACTGAAAATTCTTTTAAAAATATTACATAAATATCCAAAATAAGCGCGTGTGTTTTGTTAAATTTGGAAAACAATAGAAAAAATACATTCAATTGAAAACATCAATGAAAATTTTCACAAGTGCACGCACACAATGCAATAAACTGCAACACACTCACACACACATATATGCCATATACGCTCGTCTTTCTCTCTCTCTCACTCTCTCTCCCTCTCCCTCTCTCGCTCTCCCTGTGTGTTTCTCCATTGCGCGCGTGTGTGCAGTTTATTGTATAAATTTTCCTTATGCTGCTGCATTTTTAGCAACAGCCATTAAACATTTTGAAAAATAACTGTAAAACATATGTGGATTATTTCAAAACTAAAAAATACGCAACTAATTTTCAGGTAAACGGTGTTTTTTTCCAAGCAAAAGCCTCTTCAATAAATCTCAGGGCCAAACCTCTTGGCAAAACTTTGCAAAATTACCTGAAGCGTTGCTAATTATTTGCCGTGTACAACTTGTAGTTGTTTTGCTACTATACACAACATACTGAAATCTGTTGCTTTGTTGCTGTTTGGCATTACTTGCTAAAAGCACAAACAATTGCCATAATTTGTTTATACAAAATTTGTGGCTTTGTATCTTGTATCTTTGGGTGAGCGCATCTTTTGCCGAAGCGACCAAACAAAACTGCGCCGATTTTACTTTCATCATCATCAACAATAACAATAACAACGACAACAACAACTACAACAAAAACAGTTACAACAAAATTTTGAAATTTTACTTTCATTCATCTGCGACGATCGTATGTGCACTTTTATTTATATCTCTTTTATTGTTGTAATTTCTTCAAACATTTTTCTGCTCATTTTTTCTGTTTTTGGCTGCTTTTTTGGAGTTTTCCTTAACGCATACTTAAAGCAAACATTTAAATTCGTTAATTACTGGGAAACACCTAAGAGGACTGTTTAATGCGTGTGAAACTGAGATTTCTCATAGAGATGCTGTCTGCTCTGCTTTTGCATATCAGCAGCGACTTTTCACATCTCCAACTCAATCGAATAGCAACCGGAATCGGTGATTAACTGACAACTGAAGTATAAAGTAAAAACAACAAAAAAAAGCACACAGAAATCTAAACTGAAAACGATTTTCCAAAAGGAAACTTCGGTTTCACTTGCCAACCGAGCGAGCTGTGAAGAAGCGAGCTGTGTAAAAGCTTTAAATACAATTTAATTCAAACGAAACTTTAATGGTTTAAATGCAATATAAAGATTTAGGGCAGCATACTTTTATAGCATACGTAGAAACACTTTCAATATCAGTTTGTATAGAATTGATACTACTGGACATTAGTCACGCTAAGATTAACAATAAATACTTTAATCTTATTTAATGTGAAGTTCGTATTTGATCAAGTTCAAGCCTACCTACGAATTCCAAACAACTAATAAACTTAATAGCTCAGAACAATGTTTTTTGCATCTTAGTTAAAGATTTGAATAGTGTTCACTAATGAGCATTAGTCACGCCACAAGTATTTGAGGTCAGTTCTAGAGATTTTGAAGGTCTTTAATTAAACATATTTACTAGAAAAATTGCTAAATAGACATAGATAAATATTTATTCTGTAGTGTAGCTAAAAATAAAAATATCTACAAGAGCTGATTGAACTTGTAACTTGAACTACTCCCACACCAAAGACAGAAACATAAGCGTCAACTTTTGACAGCTTAAGCACTTTAATAATTGGCTACATAATCTCTGAAATCTGCAAAAAATCAATTCAGACAGACAAATGGCTCCACAAAGAGGAATCAGCTTAGCCCACATAATATTGTATAATAACATGCTAAACGAAATCAAAAATGACAAAAAAAAACCGCAGCAGAAAATTAAACAGAAACTCCATTAAAAAAAGTCAACTAAGCTGACCTTGAAAGAGCTACAAAAGTATAAAAAAAAAAAAATAGAAAGAAAAGTCAAATTTTGTACGGCTTTGCCCCAGAGATGCTAATTTTTAGTGACAACGAAGCAGTCGAGACCTGGCACCGGCATCTATTGAAGATCAGGAGTAGAAGCAACCGGTTGATGCGACTTCAAGTATAAATTAAAATATTATCAAGTCAAATTCAAATGGAAAAACTATCTGGCTAAACCAGTTGCTGACGTCGCTTCGTTGCGACGAAACATTTCACAGAAAATCAAATGCATTAGAAATGTAAATGAAATCGAGAGTTTTTTTATGTTCAATTTAGGATAATATTAAACTGGTTGCCAACTGATTACTCTAGACGACCTTTTTTGCCATGAATAATGCATAAAAAACAAACCTTTTCAAATTCGATTCTAATTGTGCATTGTGTCTACTGATTGTGTTTCTGCTTTGTGACCTTAAGGTTCCCTCTATCTCCATCTCGGATTCTAAGCATTGTCATTGTCTAAGGCTGGCAAATATTTTAATTAGCTAACGTCATTTGCCAAAATCAAAGTGGAAAAAAACCCACACACGCAACAAGACAACGATTTTATTGCTAAATTATGTGAAAAATACAAGCAAATTGGAGTTTTGTTTCTTGCTTTCGACAAATTTGCACAATTTCAAGGCACTTGCGTTCATAAAAACCAAAGAAAACTGTTAAAATTTGAAACAAATAAATAGTTAAGAATATATATACTCATTATGAAACTTCCTGTGCCATATAAAATTATTTAATATTTCCGTTTTTGAAACGAAACCAATTCTAGTTAGTAACCGTGACTGTGAACTGCAACTGTGGCTATGACTGCGACTGCGACTGTGACTTTGACTGTGACCCGTTTGCCCATCATCAATAATTGTTTAAATAAACAACGTTAAACAGAAACAAAAACAGCAAAGACAATTTACCGGTATTCGTGTCTTTGTAAATCGTCGTGCTTAGCCTTGAATTTGAACTTGGCTAAGGCACTTTAACAGCATCGAAACTTTGAGGCATCAATTTACAGTCGGAGACATGTAGACACATTTGTTTAAACGTTTATACATTGAAACATTTAAACATTTAGTGAGCGTGCTCATCGCTGGCTCCCTGAATTGGTGGGCCGTTAAAAAATTAGATGCTTATATTGCTATATTGTTTTTAGGGGCCGAACGACCAAAAGATTAATATACATACTTATTGTGTGGTCGCTTTGTTTATAACACTGCAAAATGCATCAATATAAGGGAAACAGTTCGTAAACTTGAACCATAAATTAAACTTGTTTAGTACCAGTCATATATCAAAAAAAGCCAAAAATAAACAACGCTTAATATTGACCTTAGATATTTAAAGATGTGGCTTAGATATAAAAATAAATTACTTATTACATATACGGAACATTCTTTAGAGGATTTATGGCAGCTGACTTTGAGAATTTGGACATACAAATAAAAGTGAGAAAGAAACAGTTGTGGATTTTATTTTAAATTTGTTTCTTTCTTTTTTTTTTTAAATTGAAAGCTAAATCATTACAGCTGCGTATAATAGGATACTTCAGATTATAATTGCTAGTTACAGAACATAAAAATTACACCTTACAGTCGTTAAACACATAAAACGGCTTGTTTTCGAATAACATTCACATAAACTTGTAGTATTTATGTTAAATTAGATTGACTGCTTGATTAGAGGTAGAACCCTTTGACATTTGAAGTTTTTACGAGCATGTATTTGTGTCACATAAATAGAACCAGTTGGCTGCACGTTTATAGACAAACTATTATCATATTTTGTCAAATATTTATCTAAACCCAAGCTCAAAATGTCACAAACTGCACACAGCTTGAGACGAGATTCACCAAGATTGACGTAAACACTTCAAAAAATATATATATATATGGGTAAAAAAAACCAAGTAAGACATCTACTTAAAATGCGCGACACACATTTTTGTTTGTGGAGCGGGGCGTGAACGGCGAGTCTTTGAACTCCGTTCACAAAAGACGAGACGCCTTCGTCATACAAACAGGCAGCCCAAAAGATTTTACTTTAAAAAAAATTGTGCCATGAATAAATGAAAGGCTGGCGAGGAGCTGTGAGCTGAAAATCCATTACGTCTAGAGTCGCAAGACCAATTCGATTGAAGCTTCCTCTTTGCCAAAAATAAAAAGAAAAAGAAAACAAAGCAGAAACCTTATTGAAAAATCAGCCACAAATCGAAGTGACGTTCAATCGACGTCTGACATTTCAATATGCGAATTGCGCATACGCCCTGTTGCTGTCCGATTGGATTATCGCATTCAAGGAAAACCAATAAACAATGCATAATAAAACAGTTATCGGATATATCTGCATTGTATCTACATATAAACAATGCCAAGCTGCCGAATTACAATGCTCCAATGAACCTTTTTGCCGTTTGGCGCACAGATTGTCTGCCATTTGTATAAGTGATACAACTTAAACGCTTCACTAAGCTGAGAGTATAAACTTTTCCTCTCTTTTTCACTCACTCTCCCTCTCTCTTTCTCTCTCTCTCGCTCTATATGTGTGCATTTATTTTGCAATAAATAAACTGCAAATATTTTGCAGTGTGGAATTTGCAACCACGCCAATACCTAAGTATACTAAGTTTAAATGATACCAATATAAATAATTAAAGCATTTACTTTTATATGGCAGCTGCCGCTTTTTTTTCAAAATATTCGATTTGGTTTTGCTTTTGTGTGTTTTTCGTTTTGATTTTGGCTCTTGGTTTTGCTTTTCATATTTGCACAGCCAATTAAAACGCATTGAAAATGAAAGTGTTGCCGCATTGTAATTGTAATCTATTGTTCACTTTTCAATTTGATATAGTTATGCACTGCATACAGACAAACAGACAGACAGATAGATAGTCTGTCTCTCTGTCTGTCTGTCTATCTGTCTGTCTGTCGGATCGGATGTATATGTTTTTGTTGCCCTTTCGCTGCGCTTTACGTAAGTGACATTGAAGGCAGCGGCTAATTATGCAATTACTTTACTTACTTGAACCGACTTTTTAAATTAACGGAAATTCAACGGAAATTGAACAAAGCTGGTACAAAGTAGATGATAATATAACAAAACGTTAAGAGCTTCTATCATTATCGAGTAATTTATAGTGTATTGTAAAAATACCATTTATAGTCATTTGAGTTTTATTGCCAAACATATTTCGAGCTTTTATTAAGACCTATAAATATCACAATAAAGACAATTTAGCATTTAAAAAAAAAAAATCCATCAAAGAGTTGAAACTATACTATTTTATTTATAATTTTGTTGAAATCATAAAATGAATGAATATTAGCTTGCCATTCAAGCATGGGTTAAAACATCTCATGATGGGATTCTGTTAATTTGTCGACTATTGTTTCTTAGACAACTTTTTATAGACAAACTTTTATATTCATAAAAAATGACTAAATGGAATGCTAATAGAAGTTTCGGTAGCAGTTTATTTCCCTTTGTAGCAGTTGCAATAGCAGAGCAATATTTCTATTGCATTTGCTGCTGCTGAGTAGTAAGTTTAAACACTGATTTTTAGCCTTTAAATAAAGCAGTTTCACTTCTACCTTATTGCTCGATTAGCCATAAATATAGCTTCAAAAATAATTCAGTCAAATTGATGTCTAGAACACTTTCTACAACCATATCTAGACAGACTATGCGTTTCTTTTCCGCCTACCACTGATTGATTGAACAAGTGCTGGCCAGCTGGAAAAGTAACGTTAATCAAGAAATATATGTGTGTGTGTGTGTGTGTGTGTGTAAAGTGCAGTTAGGTGTAACTCCAAAAAATAAAAAAAAATCTGAAAAAACACAATGGATTGCGGCATGCGTGCCGAAAATGTTAAGCAAGTGAAGAACTCAGCGGACCGGACCAAAACCAGAGACATTTCTTTTCAGCGTTCAGTGACTTTTTCGCCTCACAAAAGAGCATAAATCTTTTTCAGTGTGATTCGTCAGGGTGTGTTTATTAGCAAATTCTCGCGTTTGTTACAGCATTTTTTCTTTCCATTTTTTCCATTCGTGTATGTAAATTTCATAATATTATTTTTTTATTTTTTATTTTTTTTTGAAGCAAACCAAAGCGGGAAATATAAATACACAAAAGCAACTGAAGTGTCTTCATAATGAAAAGAGCCAAACGCTGGCTGCTCATGACAGCGACAGGTGAGTTGAAGGCTTAAGTGCTTGAAGGGAAGGGTTATTCAGGCACTGCAATAACTTAATCGTTGCCTTACACTTGCCCCGAACTGGATTATGCGCCAATGCAAAAATCAGCAACAAATGCCGAGTAACAAAATAAAAAAACTGCTACCAGTATCTGCCGGGGTTGTGATATAATCCAATGGTGTCTTACATTGACTGCCAGACGAGTGTGAAAAGAAACTGCTCCGATTATGCAATTAAGCAAAAACCTGATGCAGTTTTAACTTTTTTATTTCTATTTATTTTTACAATAATGTTTACCACCCTTACTGATCACAGTGCTGTTATTGGGTCTGCTTGCTTCCGCGGATGCCGCGTTGCCCTTCAAGAAGGTCTCCATTGCCAAAACACCCGCCCACACAACCAGCACAAGCACAACTACCACCGCCAATCCAGAATCTGAAACAGAAAAGGATGAAGAGCTGCCTCATCCAACCGCAGAGGCTGAGGAGAGCAAGGTGAGTGTTTTAAGTATTAGTTTTCAACTATGAGCTATTTAAATATGCTTCCTGATTTCCACAAGCCATCAGTTTATGAGAACTTCTATTACTATATTATGTATCTTCGCTTTTAGTCGTCGGACAATACAACGCTGACGAAAAACTCCAAATTGACGGGCATACCACAAATTGATTATATCTGGGATCCAAATTTGCCACGAGAGCTGAGAGGGTAAGTTAACAAATGATATGCATACAATGTATATATGCAGATAAAGATGAACTCAATTCTTATCAACTTTATACATAACGCAGCTTTAATCTGTCCACATATCCCTTCCTGTCCACCGTTCCACCTATGAATGAAATTCATTTCAAATGCGAGGGTCTTCACGATGGTTTCTATGCCTCCATCGAGTACAAATGTCAGGTGAGTAAATTCCACACATAACTACCATAACCAGATACATACCAAAAAATGATAAAATATTTAAATTATATGTCTATGGCAAATTACAAATTTTGTGGTCCTGGTCTGGTTCACATTTCTTAATGTTTGAACTGTCCAAGAGAGAGGATCACTTGAGGCAGAGCAACAATGTGTGTTTGTTGACCTTGTGCTCAACAGCGCAACGGGGTATGGGGCACGGGGCATGGGGGATGGGGCAGGGCATTTTGAGGGAAAGAGACGTTACCCAATTGGTCAAGTTGAACAGCTACCACGTAATGTACCACATCCAGTAATTTCTCTTTTTTTGCCACTGTCTTGTGGCTTACGTGCCCAAAGGCGAAGCCAAAAAGAAAAACATAAACACAAAATATATATATGAAAAACAAAAAAACTTGTCTGCATGTCGATCTTGACCTGAAATTGGAATTTTGTTTGCCTACCGAAGAGGCGTTAAAAAGACGACACTCTTCACACTTTAGGGTCATTTTTACGGGGATTTTAAGCAAGTTATAAATGAAATTGTTGGACTAACAGCGATTTAAATGTTTGCAGATTTATCATCATTGTGTTTATGGCATACGACACGATTTTCTGTGTGCCAATTTTACGGCTTTCGATCAGAAAACGTTCATTTGTCACTTTGCTTCCGATGTGGACTGCGAGGGCTCCCAAAAATACTGGAACAGGTGAGCAATACTTGATTGCCATCAAAAAATTATATCAATTAAGGCAACTCTTTTACCCACAGAAACGATGCACTTTATATGGCGACGACGACGTCATCGACGAGCACCACAACCACCACAACGGAAGCACCACCGCCACGTCGTCGGCAACAGCGTCCCTATCATCGGCCCTACAATCGCCGGCCCCTGGATGATTACTATTATGAGGATGAACAGGAGGATGATTACTATGAGGAGCGCCTGCCACGTCGCAAGCCACGTCCACGTCCCCGAAAGCCGCAACTGGACTACGATGATGAGTACGAGGAAAAACCGGCAAAGCGACGCAAACCCAATCGTTACAGGGACGAGGATGATCTAATCGATGAGGACTACGATGATCGACGCAATCGTCCCGGCGCACGTCGCGGCAAACCCACATCTGCAGCGGCCGGACGTGGTAAAGGATCGCCACGCAAGCCGGGCCGCGTGGAGGAGCGACGCAGCTTCAATGAGGATCGTGGTGGAGCCGTCGACGAGCCGCGACGTGTGGCAGGCAGGAGACGTAGCAATGAGAAGCGCACCACAACCGCAGCGGTACTCGATGAGCTGGATGAGTACGAGAAGCCTTATGGACTCGATCAGGAGGAGGCGGCCGAGGAGCAAACGCCGCAGAAGGTGAAGACAACGCCCAAGCCACTGGCCGAGTTCGTTACGCCCAAGGCGGCGGCTGCATCCGTCTATGCGAGACCACGTGCACCACCACGGATCGCACGTCCCGTGCCCATCAATGAGAAGAAAAAGTTCTCCTACCCAGTGCAGAAGAATCCGACTGTCGACACGGAAGATGAGGATTACTATCAAGAACGCGAACAGCCAGAGGATGACTACGAGCAGCCGGAACAGCCTGCACGCAATGCGCCACGCAGACGCACTGCAGCAGCCAAGGAGCAGAAGCCAACACGCTCCACGCTGCGCAAGCCGGTGACAGACAAGAAGCCACTCCTCGACGACCAGGACTACTACGAGCCGGAGCGACGGGAGACGCCGCGACGCAAACGTCCCTTGGCCAGCAGAGCACGTACACCGACCCCAGCAGCCGATGTCGACTTTGTCGACGATGTGGATTACGAGGAGGAGCACAAGGTACCCACGCGCACCCAACGTGTGCGCAGCAAAGCAGCTGCAGCGGCACCACCAGCATCAGCACCAGCAGCAGGAGGAGCAGGCCGCAGGCCAGCACCGCGTCCCAGACAACCCATAGCACAGGAGGCCGATGAGGCAGAAGGGGAGGAAGAAGCGGAGCAGCAGCATGCCAATGAGGAGTCGCGTGTGCCCCCGGCACGCGCGAAAACCAACTCGCTGCTGGGCGTCACTCCGGCGAGACGCAATCAAAAACTGGCGCTGGCCAATCGCCAACGGGCTGCGCTGCTCACAGCGAAGGCAACAACACAGGGGCCACCAGCAGCAGCAGCTGCCGAGGAGGATCAACAGGAGCCGTTAGATGATACTGCGAACGAACCGCTGGCGCCGGCAGCACCGGTTAAGCCCCAGCGCACCGCATCGGTACGTGTAGTGAAACGTCCATTTTTACCATCGCGTGGCGGCAGCCCCTATTTGCCACGTGGCCTGCAGCCGGTGGGCGTGGCAGTGAGGCCGCAGCTGAGCAGCGATGCACGCACCACAGACAGCACGCCCATCGACATGGGCTCGACCATATCGGGTGTGCGCCTGCTGGAGCACGGAGCGCCGCTGCTGCGTGGCAGCACCACTGACAATGATGATGATGACGATGCTGGTATTGGTGACGATGATGATGATGATGACAGTGCTGATGCGCTGCCAGCACCACCATCATCCAGTCCAGTGCGCACCACATTGCCGCCACGCAGTGCGCTGCCGACATCGGTAACGCCAAGACGGCTAACGGAGCCACCGCCGATCAAGCTCAATCTGGACGAACTCTATGAGAACGACTACGATGTGACGCTGAACGATGCGCTCGATCCCACGCTTAAACCGCTTACGCCACTGCATCATCCACATCATCAGCATCAACAGCAGCAGCCGCCGCAACAGATACACCATCATCAACAACAACAACAACAACATTCACATCAACAACAACAGCACAATGCTAACTATCAGAGCCGACCCTATGCCAGTGCGTATGTGGCTCCAGTCAATCCATTTGCTGGACATAATAGCAATAGCTATCAGCAGCATCAGCAGCAGGCAACCATTTATCAGAATCATTCGCCACCATCATCATCAGCCATTGCATCCGCTTCGCATTCACAGTCACAGTCACAGCAATCGCCATCGCCATCGCAATCGCAGTCAGCAGGACCAGTGAGCTATCATAGTGATTCCTATTTCTCATCGACAGATCTACGCCGGCGAGCGATTGTCCCGGCGCAGAACGCGCGTCCACATCGACACGAATACGCTGCCGGAGGAGGAGCAGTGAGCAGTAATCGGCAATCAGTGGGCACACGACTTGCCCAGCATTTTTACGATGACTTTGCATATTAGTCGCGCTTACAAGTCTGTATAAAACAAAGGTAATCCCCATGATATTCTCTCAAATTCCCTCTGCTCATCTAACGTTCTTCCTTACAGTTTCTTCAGCTGTATATATAAATTTTCAAAAACAAAAAAAAACCAACTAGACGGCGTCACAGGTGCCCAGGCAACTGCTTTTCCAAACTATACTTTTTTTATATACTTTAGTTCGTTAGCCGCAAGCTAATTTTAATTTGTTTTGTCTATAGTTCAAGTTCAAGCTGGCAAAATTGATAAAATTGAGTTTGCGCTTAACTTTTACATAAAACAGAAAGCAAAAAATTAATAATATATATATATACATTGTATAATACTCAATTGTCGTGATAGTAGCCGAGACAAACAGTAACTTTCCAAGTTTTGTCTGCTAATTTTTATGTAGTACACAAACAACAATAACAACCAACAAGAACAATCAACAATCAACCGCTGCGCTTAGCTAAATACTCGAAGGCGGTGAACAACAAATGGAAAAATCAAAATCAAAAACAAAAACAACTTAATTTAAATGTAGTATGCAAACATTTTGTGTGCGCGTAATATTTAAGCTGTATTCTAGGCTCAAGTCGAGTGCTTAAACAAAATTAAAAATATAATACAAAAACAACTAAAACAAAAAAAAATAAATACTTTTAACTTTAAATTGCTTTTAGCTCGATTGCGATGCAGTTGCGCACAGGCAGCTTTTAAGCACTTCCGTTTCCTCTTCCAAATGATCCAACTTTTTCATTAAAATTATCTAAAAAGTAAGAAGTGAAAAATAAAAGCTAATGATAAAATAAATACAGATAAACAGGCAAACCTTGGCTGCCGATATCATTTCAGTTGCCACTTTGAGCGGCATAAATTCGACAGCTTTCACCAAGACCATGGGACGCGTTTTGGCCACATCCTCAACGGTTCTAAAGCCAGCAGCAAAAAGCTGCTTGGCCCGATTCTAAAATAGTATAACATACATTATAAAAAAGAGATGAAACAACTGAAATTCAAATACTCACAATCTTAACAGCGGGCAACTCCAGAAGGGGCTCCAGCTCCAAGGTGCCACAACGATCCATTTTATGATGAATGCGTTCGAAGAGTGGTTTGTAGCACCAGAACTCATCCATTTGCTCGCAGAGACGCATAATGGCACTGGCCGCCGCTGTGCACTGGCTGATGAGCTGCTGCAGCGTGCCTCTCTCGATATTATACTTGCTGGCGACGCTGGGCAGCGGCAGCAGCGCCAACACATCAGCTAATATGAGCACTTTGTACAGGCGATTCAGCTGTAACGCAAGCGGACCCTGCACCGACTGTGTCTTGGCCAGTCGGGCGGCATGCGCCTCCGTAAAACCCAACTGCATGAACAGCGCCTGTGTCTGCATGGGCAACGAGGTGTATTCGCGAAAGAGTATATTAGCATCAGCTGGAAAGAGCTCATCGCCACGCTCATTGGAGTTGAAGCAGACCAGCAAATATAGCAAATGCACATAGCTGGTGAGGATGAGCTGCTGCTGTGCCAGCTGCAACTCCTTGTGTATGGCAAAGGCACGCTTATAATCGATGCCCGCCTTGAATGCAGCTCGTCCAATACTGGTCAGTTGAAAGCGCGTCGATTGACTAATCAACAGTCGGCGATCGGCAGCAGCTCGACAGCTCGGATTGACATCCTGAGTGGTCATTATATCCGAGCTATTTGGCTTGCCCTTGGGAGCACTTTCGCTTAGCTGTAGCACCTTGTTCTTGAACATGTCCCGAAGAATGCGCAGGACGAGCTCATCAACAGCGACTTCCAAGGAACCTGCTTGCACGGCCAGCAGTGTGCTGTTTACCAGACGATTCAAATCACGTCGGCAATCAGCTAAATTTAAGCCGATAACACTCAGTATTAAAGACTGAAAATAGCCAACGTTTATTTTTGGATGTGCATTGCAACTCTTAGACTCACCTGCAAGCCAACAGCCTCCAGCTGATCCATCGAGCTCAGCGCCTTGTCCATGGGCGAGAAGAGCATCTGACCCACCAGTAAATTGTCCTTGCTCTGCGTAATGAGTATACTCTCGCCCGCCTCACCTAAGCCTGCGCGTCCCGCCCTCCCAACCATTTGCTTATACTTGCACAATGTCATAAACTCCTGACCCACATAGGGCGCCCGTATAATCACACGCTTGGCGGGCAGATTTACGCCAGCGGCCAGCGTTGAGGTGCAGCAAATGACTGTGATGACACCAAAGCGATAAGCGGTCTCAATGTACTTGCGCTCATCCGTGGTCAGGCCGGAATGATGATAGGCAATACCATAGGGCAGCGTTTTAGCCAGCACGGGGCTCAATATGCCGCATATCTGGTCCAGAGCTTTCATCAGATCGGCTTTCTCGCTCTGGCGATGCTCAAAGAACTTTTGTTTGGGCACAATGCGACTTAGCAGCAGCGCCACGTTCTCACAGTTCTTGCGCGTCGGACAAAACACCAGGCAGCAATGCTCCGGTGCACATTCGGTAATCAAACCAGCCAAATGATCCGGATCGGCACGCTCCACAGCAGCGCTGTACTGTGAAGTAATAGGATTAGTTCTTGCCATGTTCAAATTCAATGCAGCAGGCTCACATTGTAGCTGACGGTGCGCTTTGGCACAAAAATCTCCTCAAGCGTTTGACCAGCTGCATTAATTTCCAGCAAATCATTGCCACATTTGATGTACTCCTTGAGCTCCACTGGGCGAAAACCACGTGTATAGACATCCGCATTAAGAAATGCTGAGATTTCATTCAAATTGCCTATGGTGGCGCTCATGCCCACAATTTGAATGTTGGCTGTACAACAAGTAACATAATTATACATATATAAAATATTCATATACATTTTGCAATATGCATTTACCATTTAGAAACATAACCTTGGTGAGGAACGCCTCCAAAGTGGCGCCACGTCCGCGTTCGCCAATCAAATGCAATTCATCCACAACAACCAGGCCAATCTCGTGTGGTCTTTCTGCATCAATCAGACTATCCATAAGCACAGCGCCCTTTTCAATGGATGCAATAAAAAGGCTGCGTCGCTTGCGTTGCGGTTGTGGCGGACATTTGCCCTTACCCGCAGTATACTCATCCACAATGAAGTCCAGCGCAATGGCAAACGGTGACATGGCACTAACCTTTTCCTGCACAATAGATACATATGGCAATATGAAGAGCACGTTGCGTTCGCGGCAGAGCAGCTCTCGCAGGATTAGGATTTCGGCAACTAAAGTTTTGCCGCCGCTGGTGGGCAGCGCATAAATTAGATTTTTGCGCTTGCGTATGGCAGGCAGATTAAGACACTCGTCCTGCCACTCTGGAAAGGGATTTTGAATTAGAATGAGGTAACTAGTATGGAGTTAACTTACCATATAAGCTCTTGATGCCCTTATGCTCGAATATTAAACTCTTTACTCTATCGGGCAGCCCGTAGAAATTGCCCTTGCTGGGAAAGCTATTATCGGTTTGTGGTTCCTTGACGCTTTCAAATTCGTCAAACGCCTGCGTCTGCCAGTCCAGCTGATCGAGCGCCGCCAGCTCCTGCTGTGCCTGCAGCATGGAGCGATTCTTAAGTGCCTCAAATGTCGCATACTGTGTGCCCTGCACAATGCCATCCAGTATGGACTTGGATAAGAATGACATTGAGGTGGAGATGGACATGGATTCTTCTTTTTCTTCTTGTGTTTGTGTGGCTGTCACTTGGGTTCGGTCTGGTGACTTGGGCACCTTGAAGGCCATTGCATCCATGAAGAGCTGCGTGTTTTGTGCAACTGGATCGCTATAATCATCGGTACCATGAAATATATCCTCCATTTCAGCCACGCTCAAGTCTTGCAGATTAATTTCAGTAAAAGTCTGCACTTTTGGGCTGTTCTGTTCAATTTCAACCGATTTCGGTGCCGCTTCACCTGTGCTGGGCAGCGATATATCACCAAATAGACTGTCATCCGATTCGCTTTGTTGAAATTTGTTGCTAATTTGACTGCTGAACGGTGCTGAGACGACAGCATCCTGTCCGCTAAACATTTCCTCCAGTTTGGCATGGGAAAATAGGCTGTCATCGTTATCCGGCCAAAAGATGTTCTCGCTCATCTGCCTGGCAGCACCAGCAGCGCTCGTGCGCTCCAAACAAATACGTTTTACATTAGCATTACGTTGCGGTGTTAAATCATTATTTATGTGTTTTCGCGACATTCTGCACACAAAACATTGATCAAAAGCGACGCGCCTAAAACAGCAACTCAGCTGATTTTTTCAGCGTGGCCACCTAGTCAAATGCATTTGTAATTTTCTTGTATATTTTTATGTTTTGTTTGACTTTATATTCTCAATGCATTTCCTGTAATACTATGCTTACAAATTATACATTAATATTATATTAGTATTACAACGTATTAAATATATTAAGAGATAGCTTCAAAAGCAACAGGTAAAGAATCCTAGTTGTGAAAGAACTTGGTCACACTGCGATTTACAGTTTGATCTTGTAAACCGCAGCAATAACATCGTAATTGAAGACCGGCTTGCGAAATCTATTTCACCATTGATACAATCCGTCGTAGTGCACTCCTGCAATGGAGGCGCATTGTGACTATTGGTACTTGGAGCATGTGAGCACCGGGAAGAAACTAATACTGCAATCCGGCGAGAATTCAGTGGGCAGGCACTCGTGCTGCAAGTTTGTGCTAAAGGATTACAACTTCCTGTCCCGACAGCACGCCAAGTTCATTGTAGATCAAGACAATAACGTATGCCTCGAGCAGTTGGTACGTTTCATACTATACTATACATATCAATATAAATGTATTTATATTATATATCCGCATTGTTCATATCTATTAACAGAATGCACTCAATGGAATTTTTATCAATGAATCCAAGCTTGTAGCAAATACTCAGCGTCTGAACTCCGATGATATAATCGGTCTTGGAGTTGAAGTTGAATCATCGGACGCAGTGGTTCCGCCTAACTATGCTATATTCCAATTGAAGCTAATGTCTTCTAATGACGAGGACATTGTTCTTATATCCGATGACGAGGTCGATGATGGAACAGTGCCTAATGATTACAATATAGATGCCGTTAAGCAGGAAGGGGACGAGATTAACAACGCCGCCAATAAACCTGATAATGAGAAATCAGCCGATGCAAGTCCAAATCCAAACAGGGTAATACACTTACCAAAACTTCCGGAAGTGAAACAAGAAATTCTATCGCAGGCATCGAAAGATATTGAGAACATTTTCGGCGAGGCGGATGAGGAGTTTCTTGAATCGGTTTATCAAATCAATCCGTATGTGTACAAGCAGCTGAATAACAAGAACGTTGTCACAACTGGTGAGAAAATATACAACGGCGATATAATTGAGCTGCTTGAAAAGGCTGCCAATCCAGAAATCTCTCTACCCGAGAATGGAGACACCCCAGAACAGCCTCCTGAGTATGCAAACTTACCAAAAACTCCACCACCGCCATTAATTGGTGCCTCAATTATTGTGGATGACAACGATGATGACTATGATGAAAACATGGCCTTGTCGCTACGCGAAATGAAGGATGAAATGGCCGAAATTGGTGAGCTTATTGATGAGGCGCAGGAGGACGAGATCCAGGACGATGATGATTTTCAGCCACAAGCATCATGGATCAAAACCGAAATAGCCACACAAATCAATGAGGATGAAATTATACTCATTGAGGACGAAGACGACGAACTTCAAAGCAAAGTGGCCGATTGGTCATCGAAGCTGCTCTCTCAAAATATACTGTCGCAAGTTTATCCACTGGATGAGGAGGATCAATGTGATGCTGAGTCACAGGCTGAGCAATTGTTTAATGATACCAATAGAGATGCTAATAATGACAACGGCAATCAGTTATCAGAGCTGTCTATTTTTATGAGACATAGATTAAAAGCGATACGAATTGACAGCAGCTCCAGCGAAGATGAGTCTGAAGCCATTTGCCCAGGTAAATAGTATAAGTGTTGTCTTCTCAAAAAACTTCATACTTTACTTTCCATTCTTTCAGCTGAGAAGACGACACTGCAGAATTCCATGCTACATAGTGTAAAATCGATTGATATATTGCAATCACAGCAAAATGATTGCGACGATTTGATAGCAAAGGATGCCCATAAGAAATCTGAGGCTGAACGCTCCGACATAGCCTGCAACAAACAGCCGGAATCACCCAGTACACTAAAAAAGCCACAGAAGAAGTCCACACTGCGCAAGCGTAACAAAAGTGTCTCGGAGCGCTCGGAGATTGAAGAGCTGCCTGTAGAAGCAGATGAGCCTGCTACCGAGCTCGAATCATCCGCTAAGAAACGCAGCCCGCTCCTTCAAAATATATCGAAATCTTGTCATTTTGAGAGCCCCTTATCATCTCCAACAAGAGTACAAAGCAGTCCCAAAGAAGACCAAAATAAAACCAAAAAGATGTCAACAGAAGCAACACCAACAAAATGTAGTTCTCGCTTACAAAACAGATCCAAATCTTGTTATATGGAAAGACCCACGTTATCGGTAACAAAACAACAAGAAAAAACAACTAAAGACTCAAAGAAAGCAAAGGAGATACCGCCGGAAAAGATGTTCGTACCAGAACCAGCTATATCTCCAAAGAAGAGCAAATCCAAATCAAGTTATAAGGAAAGCCCCTCAACTGCTTCAACGATCACAATCAAGGACAAAAACAAACAGCCGCCAGTAGAGGCAACTGAATTTGTGACTTTGCCAGAGCCCGCGAAAGCACTGAGCCCACGCTTGCTAAACAGATCCAAATCCTGCTACATGGAACGTGCCATATCATCACCCGAAAGGTCCGAGCAGTCAACAAATAAAACACCTCACAGCAAGTCGATTTCTCAGCGAAGCACCGATAAGTCATCCACAGGAACCTCAAGTAACGATGAGCATAGTCGTAAGCCAATGGTCATTGCAGCCCCCCATTTGCCCAAATGCCGCGGAAAATTGCGAGGCGTTTCAGCCGTCAGCAAGGAAATAAAGCGTAAAATTCAAGTACTTGACCGACAACGCTCTGACGATTACATGGCGCAGATGAAGAAGAAATGGTATCAGAAATCAAAGGACAGGAAACGTGAATGCAAGCAAATCAAGGAGAAACGTCGCGAGGAGCTCAAAAAACTTGCCGCAATACCAAAGTCAGATGCTAAAGCTGCTGCTAGCGATGGACGCAAACGCAAACAGACGAGCGTGCCCACGCCGGGCAATTGCAATCGTGGCGAGTTCCTAACGAAAGAAGTGCAACCACCCATCTCAAAGAAATCTAAACTGGATAAGACGCCAGCAATGCCGACAAAACCAAAGCCCGTACGTCGAGCCACCATCGAATCCTTCAGTCAGCAGCTGAATGCCGCCGACCTAATAAAGAGTCCGCCCACACATTTCAGTCGACTGCCGGAACGCAAGGATGCGCAAAAGGCGCGCAATCAGAGGACCTGCAATCGGGTTACTTTTGCCGATATGGATCGGCAGTTCGAAATGCGACAAAAGTTAAACAAGTTGGCGAAACGCGTCCGTTTCAATGATACTCCACAAATAAGAATTATCGAACGGATTGGTAACATAAAAGTTGGCAATAAAAAGGATACCAAAAAGCTGACACTGAGCACGTACAAGGAGCGTCGCGAATGGGCACACGCACACGGCAAATTGGATAACTTTCGCGATCTGATTATGGGCGACATTCTTAGCTGGGCCAATCAGTGGCTAACACTGCGCTCTGCCGACGCGGTGGCAGAATCTGATGTCCTCATACCCATTCCAGATGAGTTCAAAAGCTTCAAACAGTACAGAGAGTAAGATCAATTAGAACCAGCTTAAAATATATATTAAATATTTATTTATATACTTATCCAGTACCATTATACCACTGATGAAAGTGGAACTGCTCGCCACCATAGAGCGTGACTATGAAATATCCACAGACAGATTTGAGGTCCATTTGAAGAGTTTCTCGCAGGACAACACTCGAAATCGACCGCGTTTTGTGCTGTTCACCACATGTAAGCCAGCATTAATTCATATAATCAACGCACTTCATTATCAATATTATTATATTACTCAGACAACCAGCGGATTGTGAAGAAATTTGATCTATATACTATATATTGTCACAAAAATCGAAAAAAGACGTTTGCGAATGTGGTAAACACCCAAAGGATATCTGGTAGGCACAAAGTATATTTTAACTTTCAATCATCCACCTTTCTATATTTCATTTGGACCATCTTGCAGGTGACCATTATGAACTACATTTTGAAATATTGCAAGAGGATATTACCATGGAGATGCTGAGCGGTATAAAAACTTTAACGGTGCGCCCCATCGTGGATAATATACGAGTGGAAATGGGTACATTCAATGCCATATATTTATTGAGTCGCTCGCCACTCGCCCAGCGCATCTTACAGCCCAGCGAGAATGTAGTATCGTATGACAACAAATTAATACCGCATGCGGCATACAAGGGCTATAATAAACTGAACAAGCGCCAGATTGATATTTGCCAGCGCACCTGGCATCGGCTGGTTGATGACTCAACGCCCAGTATTACGCTGATCCAGGGTCCACCGGGCACTGGCAAGTCGGTGATCATCTCCAATCTCACGTTGCAGTGCATTTATGGTAGCAGTAATATAATGCTGGATCGCAAGATACTCATATGTGCGCATAGCAATGCGGCTGTGGATAATATAACGTACTATTTAAAACGTGCCCACCACGCCATGTGTAATTATCGGTTTGATGTATTGCGCTTCGGCCTATTTGAAAAAATGAACCCAAATGTGCAGGATATTTCGCTAAACCACTATCTAAAACAGAAGCGTGACGAGAAGCGTAATCGTCTCACTGCCGATAATATTTTGAGTCTAACAAACCAACAAAATGAGCTGAAAATGGAAATCGCAGAGCTTAAGAAATCGTCTACGAAAATGAATTATATGCAACAGCAGTTGACTGCCAAAGAGCGACAATTGCGTCTAATCACGGAGCAACTGAATCCACCGCTGACGCCACGCGAAGAGCACCGGTTCTCTACAGAGCGCGTGGAGCGCGCTAATATTGTGTGCACCACACTCTCGAGCTGCGTCAAGCTGGCCAACTTCATAGACTACTTTGACATATGCATCATAGATGAAGCAACACAGTGCACAGAGCCATTTACATTGTTGCCACTGCGCTTCGGTGTACGCGGTCTCGTCCTGGTCGGCGACACACAACAGCTGCCCGCCACAGTGCTGTCCCAAAAGGCAATTGACTTTGGCCTGGGCAACTCAATGTTCGCTCGCATACAGCGCAATTTGCAACTGCAGCTGGAAAGGAAGCGTGTCAATCAAGTTGTGCACACGAAAATATTTCGATTATCCACACAGTATCGGATGCATCCAGATATTTGCCAATGGCCAAATAGCTACTTCTACGACAATCAGTTGACGAATGCCGATTGCACGGCGTATCTGATATCACCATTTATTCCATATTGTGTCATCAATTTGAGCTATACGCAGGACACCAATGATGTGAGCAGTCGCAGCATTAGCAACGATGAGGAGGCACATTTTGTGGCCAAACTGCTGGTCGAGATGAACAAGCATATGCCCGCCGAGCGCTATAAATATGGACTGATAACGCCATATAGCAATCATTGTTATACTCTCAGTCAGGTGATACCCAGCACCATGAAGATTACGCCGCAAACTGTCGATGCGTATCAAGGTCAGGAGCGGGACATCATCATCTTATCGAATGCACGCACACGCGGCGTCGGCTTCCTCACCAACTATCAGCGACTCAATGTGGCCATCACCAGGCCAAAACGCTGCCTCGTCATCTGTGGCAACTTTGATGATTTACAAGTAAGAATCCCAGAATCATCTGTTAATCAGGCCATGCTATCCTTAAAAATGCTTGTATTTTTCTTGCAGTCTGTACAAATTTGGCGTCATTTGCTGGACGATGCACGCAGTCGAAATATTTACTTTGATGTGAAGCGCAGCGATGTTGAGGATTTAAATCGATGTCTAATCAGTAAGATGCTTGTGCCGCCACTTGAAATTCCGAGTTGATTTAACTCGTCGTCCAAGTTTTATAAATTTCTTAATAGTACATCATTTCAACAATTATTGAATTCATTCCTGAAGTGCCAAAGCATATATAAAAATATATATAAATATATATGAATACAGTTACTTACTTATATATGGCTGCTATTTAACCGAAAAGAAATTGGTTATTAATTTGAAAATAACATGAATTATAAATGCATTTTTACATTTAAATTTTAATTATGTTTTGTAACATCAATAAAGACTTGCCTTAGGTCTAAAACAGTTTCACTCGACTCTAAAGTGAATTGAATGAGTCAACGGAATTTTTCTTTTAAATGATATTTCATTTCCGAAAGGAACTGAATGTAAATATATATATATTTATATATATATACATATATTTGGACACAACAATATGTTAAGTATTTCAAGCTAAATACATGAATATTTCGTTTTGAGAACTGAAGACAAATACCAATATACAATATTTTACTATTATTTATATTGCACTAGATATTGTAAACATTAATGAAAATAAAAGCCCTTATATACTTTATCGTTCATATATATATTTTTTAGTTAACCAACTAAAATGGTATTTTGAAAAATGTAATGCATTAAGTTAAGATGTTTACTAGAGAACATTTCACAATCTAAACTAGGCGCGCCTCTTTGGCATGACTAATCTCGGCTCGGAGGCATATAGCGCTCTCAATTAAATTAGTAAGTAAATTAATACACACATAAGTTATGTAGATTTACACAATAAATATCTATATATATATATATATAGATATATATATATATATATATATGTCAATATGTATTGTAAATTCACACTCAGAGCCATAAGAAAACATTAAATTCATAGGATCGGTTTACATGTTGTTGGTTTGCCTTTCACTAGCTTTAACTTGCAATTTTAAAGTGTTTAATTCGATTTGGTTAAAAGTGAATCTCATAATGCAATCTTATGTTCAGTAAAATTAATGGAATCGCGTAACAAATCACCGGTAAACGCATTGCACTTGCACTTGAATGCCATCATCATAATATTAATAATAACCGTAACTGAAATAACTTAAAATTGTAGTAACAACAAAATTCTAAACTAAAAACATAACAAAAATTATGCTCAAAAATTTAAACTATTCATATAGTGTTCGATTCAAATGAATCATTTTTGGGGGACCATAACAGCATCCGAGAAGTTCTTGCCATATGTTCCTTTACAGATATAAATATATATATATTTATATATATTATGTAATGTTGTCCCACTATCTTTTTATAATGAATATGATCTCTTAAAATATGAAATATTCATTATAAAAGGAAACTGTTTTCTTATATTTTAGTTCAGCACGTCGCCTAGAGAGTCCTTTAATGACTGATAGATTTGGTATTGTTGATCCGGTTTTAAATTATAAATCTGCAAAACAAAAAACAAATGTAATGAAAGAAGTTGGTATACCAGCAGTTTTCAACTTTAACCAACCTGTGTCAAAAGTTTCGACGGCGATGGAGTTCTAATGAAACTTGAGATATAGACGTTAACAAAGGTGGCCATCAAAAACTGACAGTCGAAGCGATCCATAATGCCACCATGTCCAGGAATCATGTCACCAAAGTCCTAAGGCATAGAGATTTAAATAAATATACAAAATAACAAATATTGTTATCATTTACCTTAATTTTAAACGCGCGCTTGAAGCCGGAAGCAAAGAATCCACCAAAGGGTCCAATTATGGAGCTGAACAGGCTCAACGAAATCGAGTGCCAGACGAATGGATAAATGTTCAAAGATTTTCCAATGCCAAACTAAAATTGCAAATGATATGAAATCGATAATCATTAGGGAAGCCCTATTGTATGTTTATGTGTGTGCATACCAATTTAAGGCTGTACTCCTGCGGTGTAAACAAATAGCTGGGTACACAGGACATTCTCATACGACCCAGTTCCTCTGAGTATTGTATGGGGCAAATAAAGTATTGGTAATTGCACAGAAAATAGGAGAATATTATGCCATAGAGGACGGTGGCAAAACCACCACCGATAAAGCCCTCCCAGGTCTTTTTGGGGCTCAGCTTGATGAGGGGTGTGCGTCCAAAGAAGAAACCAAACACATACGCCATGACATCATTGCACACAATCATCGAAACGGGCACTATAAACCAAATAAGGCCCTCGAATATATTCTGTATAATTAGATAGCTCTGGGTGACGACAATCAGCAGCGAGACGTGCGTCCAGGCAAATAGACTAAATTGCTTGATGTAGTATTTCTTCACCAGGGACAGCACGAACCAAACAAACCCAATGATATACAACGCAAATGATAGAAAGCGATGATAGGTGACTAAAAATTTCAAGTATTCCTGCATACAAGAATCAATAGAAAATAGAACACGATTAGTTGCACCACTTGATGCTGATGATTATGACAGTGTGAGCACTTACCACACGATTGATGACCACGCCAAAGTAGTCAACTAGATGTTCGCCATAAAAGAAATAGTTGGAGGTTAGCAAGAAATACCAGGAGAGACTGCGAAACCAGGGCAGGCCGTGTATGCGATACACTTGATAGCCAATTGAGATAATCTCCTGGAAGCACTTCACCTGCACAAGCAGCGTCTATATATGGAAGATAAGTGGTTAAAAAGGTGTCGAAGCGCGAAAACTCCCCTCCATTCTCCCTCTCACCGTAATCATCAGAGCCAACGGACCGCCATAGATGATTAATGCAAATCCACAAATCATAATCCATGTGAAAATGCCGCGGATGACCCAGTTCTTCCATCTGAAATAACGTTGGTATGCAAAAAAATAAACAAAATGCTCACAAAACAAATATGATTATAAATTACACTCTGATACAAATGATGGATATAAATATTTCCAAGTTACTCAGAAATACTTCTGAATACAGAATTCGAGAAAATGTATGATGTCAACTAGTTCAAATTTTTGTTATATAGTGTTATTTGCGCACCGAATGCAAAAATCTGTAAGTGAATATTTTTGGAATTCCACTGATCTCATGAAGTATACACATATGTGTATACAAACACATAAATTATTATTTGCACATACCGATCCGGTAAATCCTTGAGAGCTGAGTCCAATATCTCTGGCGTTTTGTCAGTGCCTTGTGGTAAATTCTTCGCCAGCTCCTCAACAACTCTCTCTTCGGGTATTTTCTCCTCTTCCGAATCGACCTGTTTAAAGCAAAATTGTCACACAATCATTAATGCGATGAATTTTTAAACATTGCTCAACATGTGATTTCAAAGTCCAACATCGTCGTCGTCGCCAGTTGTTGTTATATCGCATACAATATACTTTTTATAAGATACAAATCAAATTTATCCAAGTTGAACGCAAACTTTGTTTGCCTCTGGTTGGTTGTTTGAGGTGGCGTGTTATTAACTTTTGGCTAGCAAATATTAGCGGTCCTCTCTGATAAGAAAGTCGCGAAAGGGACTTAATTGAAGGCGGGAGCGGTGGGAGGGGTATTTAATCTGTGTTATCATGAACAAAAAAGCGCGTCTCGGAAGAGGAAGCATATTTTAAAGACACGCTGCTGAGGTAATATTCAGTAGGTGCTTGGGGGGTGGTTCCTTTGAATGCCTTTCGTAATGGGTCACTTAATTGGATTTGTTTGCAACACACACAAAGGGGTCTTTGTTATTGTCATATACATAAGCATATCTATATGTATATGTCAGTGTTGTGTGTGTGTGGTATTTATGTATGCAGAAACATTTTGTTATTGGTTTTTCTCTACTTGCGCCCTTTCTCTCTCGAATATTCTTTCCTTCTCTCTGTGAGTGTGGATGGCGCTCTTTTGCCACCTGCTTGTGCGTCAGAGAATAACAAAAACACACGAAAGACTTGGATGTATGTGTATCTTGTTGTATTGGTATACATACAATTCGCTTCACTTTTTTTGCGCTTCAATGCATAATGCAATTCTTTGAGCTGATGATTTATGCACACAAGAATGCACAACCATTGCAGTTGATTTTGATTTTACACACTAATTGGCCCAGTGAAACTTACATGATCTGAGGAATCAGCTGCACTGCTAGCGGCTGTGGCAGCAGCAGCATCGTCTGTCTCATTTGCGGCTGGCTTTCTGCGTCGCACGTCCGCCATTTTAATATTTCCACTAATTAGAATTTAAATTGAGTGTTCAACTGTTTTTTTCAAATTGCAGTTGACGTGCAGTTGTCGTGCGGCACACGCATGCACTTAAAATATAAAACGTCCGATTTTCTTTCAGCACACAGCACACACACGAGCTATAACTACAATCAATTAACTCAGTGTGACCGGGCTGTTCAAATGTTTGAAATTTGATATTAAATCAACAGCTATATCGATAACAAAAAAAAAACACCAAATTCAAATTCGATAATTACTTGCGTCGATATAATTGCACGTTGTTCAGCACCCTTTTTAAGCATAGGCAAGTGTGCGTGTGTGTGTTTTGTGACTGCCGGCGTCATTTGCGAATCGCATTTATTTATTTAATCGAGTGACAAACAATCAAACATAAATCGAACAATGGCTGCAGCAATTGACGGTGTACTACCCGCAACATTGCAAGAGTTTGTAAAAAAGTCGAAAGTGTTGGTTGTGGGCGCTGGAGGCATCGGCTGCGAAGTGCTCAAAAATCTTGTGCTCAGCGGCTTTACAGAAATCGAAATTGTAAGTTAAACGACGAGTGTCTCTATCTACATTTAATATAATTAATTCCATTATTCATGCAGATCGATTTGGATACCATTGACCTGAGCAATCTCAATCGGCAGTTCCTCTTCCATAGGGAGCACGTGGGCAAGTCAAAAGCGCGCGTTGCACGTGAAAGTGCCCTCAGCTTTAATCCGGATGCAAAAATAACCGCATATCATGACAGTGTCACATCGTAAGCATCGTAGAATGTATTCCATATTGTCCACCTGCAGCTAATTTTATTGTTACATTTGTAGAACGGATTACGGTGTCAATTTCTTTAAGAAATTTGATGTTGTGCTAAGCGCTTTGGACAATCGAGCGGCTCGCAACCATGTGAATCGCATGTGTCTCAATGCAGATGTGCCGCTGATTGAGAGCGGCACATCCGGCTATAATGGCCAAGTGGAGCTGATTAAGCGCGGCCTCACTCAGTGCTATGAGTGCACACCCAAAGAGAAGCAACGCACTTTTCCAGGTTGCACCATACGCAACACACCCTCCGAGCCAATTCATTGCATCGTGTGGGCAAAGCACCTGTTCAAGTAAGTTTCTGTAGTTGGCCAACATTAATGTACATCATTAATCACAACGATACAATTTACAGTCAACTTTTCGGTGAATCCGTTGAGGATGAGGACATTTCGCCAGATGCCGCTGATCCCGAGGCACTTGAAGCCACCGAAGGCAAAGATAAGGCTGCTGAAGACGATAAAGAAAAAAATAACGATAAAGAAAAAAACGATAAAGAAAAAGATAACGAAAAGGATTCTTCCAACTCGAATGGCAACGTGGTGCGCATCAATACACGGCAATGGGCCAAGGATTGCAACTACGATGCGGATAAATTGTTCAACAAGTTCTTCAACGAAGACATCAACTACTTGCTTCGAATGTCGAATCTCTGGAAATCGCGGAAGGCACCCGTGCCGGTGCAATGGGATACGCTGCTGCCCGGTGGTGCCAGTTCCGATGCGACCGAGTTGGCGCGCCAACATCACAAGGTGTGGACCGTAGAGGAATGCGCTCATGTCTTTGCCAATGCGCTCAAGGAGCTGAGCGCAGCGTTTTTGAAACTGGAGGGCAGCGATACTCTGGTCTGGGACAAGGATGATCAGCCGGCGATGGACTTTGTGGCCGCCTGTGCCAATGTGCGTTCCCACATCTTTGACATTGAGCGCAAGTCTCGGTTCGAGATCAAATCGATGGCTGGCAACATTATTCCGGCCATTGCCACCACCAATGCAATAACTGCTGGTATTTCGGTGATACGCGTTTTCAGCGTGCTTCAGGCCAGGTGGGAGCAGTGCAAGGCCGTCTATGCCCGACTGCGTCTCAATGGGCGCAATCAGATTCTGGTAGCGGATGCCTTCTTTCCGCCGCCCAATCCCAATTGTTATGTGTGCGCCAGCGATCCGGCAATAACGTTGCGCATCGACACCAAGCGTGTCCAAATAAAAGCATTCCGCGATGAGGTGCTCATCAAAACGTTGAATATGGTTAATCCGGACTTGACAGTGGAGTCCACCGGTTCCATTCTCATCTCGTCGGAGGACGGCGAAACGGAGTGTAATGAGGAAAAGTTGCTAAGCGAAATGAACATCGTGGATGGTGTCATACTCAAGTGCGATGACTTTTTCCAGAACTATGAGCTGAGCATCATCATAGCGCACTTTGATGCCGAACGTGAGGATGTCCTCTTCGAGGTGATTGCTGACAAGAACCAGCTGCAGCCCAAGGAGGAGGCAAAGATACCGGAGCCGGTCGTCACGGAGCCCAGCACCCGTAAACGCGCCGCCAACGGTACCGATGCCACAGCCGATGATGGCCCTTCCACCTCGAAACGCAGTCGACCCACTGAAATTAAGGATGACGACGATGATGAAGATTGCGTCGTTGTAGAGGATGAGGATGATGATTTTGAGGAGGTAGTTAGTGCTGCCACAGATAAGCTCACAGTTGAGAGTCCACAAAAATTAGTAACAAAACGAAAGCCTAGCACAATATCGGATGTTGACGAGGAGATTACCGAAATCCTCGACTCTTCGGATGAAGAACTTGCCGGACCCACAAAATGCAAACGTACAAAACTGGAAGAGCCACAGCCAGCGACAAGTGGCGTCGAAGTAATCAATATCGATTAATATAACATACAACATTACATTCATAAGCGCTTCATGAAATTTTAACAATGAAATAAAAAGAAGAAATATCAGCAATGTTGAACATGCCGAAGATTATATGAGTTGTAGACCGGGATCTTAAATCTAAAAATAACACGCCCGAATTTTCTTATGAAAATTATATGATGAAGCAGCGCGAGAGATATTAACACTCATAACGGATGAGACGGATGGTCTTTAGACCAATTGTTCCTTGGAAAGCTAGAGGATATAGTAGTCCGATATCCCTGATTTTTGTGTTAATATGATACACAAATTGACTTGGGATACCTTAGTAAGCAAAAAATGTAACGCATTGCAAGCTACATACTTTTTACAAGGGTAGAAAAGAAGTTATTAAAAAGTATCTCATTTTTTTTTTACAAAATGTAAAATAATTTTGTATTAAGTAAAGTGACGCCGCTGCTCCCTTATATAATTAATTTTTAAGATAGTTGCGAATAGAAGCAAAAATTCTTATTCAAAGTCAGTGGAAATATTGTGAATGGTTGGCAACGCGGCCAGCAAATATATTTTGAAACAGTGGCAACCCCAATGTAGACCAAGGTGCGTGTTTGTGTAATTTTCCAATATTAAAAAATATAAGTTAAAAATATCTTTTCAGATGTCGCTCGCTAATAAATTTTTGCAAAGCAGCGCACGGCTATGGAATAGTATCAGCGCCACACGTGGTTTCCATATGCTGATGCGTCCGACGACAGTTGCGACAACCACACCGGCTCACAGCACAATTGGCCAGCAATTGGTGACCACAACTAATATAACTGGCTCCCTACTGGCACCATTTAATGCGCTCGTGCAGCAGGTGGCAGGATTCAAGGTGAAGGGTCGCCTAAAGCGGCGCTGCAAGGATTGTTACATTGTGGTGCGCCAGGAGCGCGGTTATGTCATCTGTCCAACGCATCCGCGCCACAAACAGATGTCAATGAAGAAACGTGACTACAAATCCTGGATCCTCACACACGCCACACAATCGAAGGAGAGGGGCTTTTAAATCATTATTTGTTGCTAATAAATTACGTTTACATATGAAAATAAGTCAATTGGATTTTATTGACTTGAATAAAATGAGCTAACAATTAAACATAATTTTATAAATGTATTTATGAATTTATTTCATTATTTGTGTGCATTTCAAGCAGCAAATAACTTAAAAATAAATAACTTGACAAGTTTTCTAAACTATTTAAAAGTTTTTTTTTTGCACATTTGTTTTTGCTCCACTCATTTTTGGTGCTATCCAACACTATTGAACAGCTGTCGTTTTGTTTATCTACAAACTTTTTTTGGCCGCAATTGCTGTTCAATTTAATTATAAAAGTTTCTTGTTCAATTGGCCAGAAGAAATACGCCTGCCGTCAACGTAACTGTTCGTTTCTGTCGCCGGTGCATTACCGATAACGGGCTAACAAACTAATCGCCAGCTTTAGGCAATGACTTCCCATTTTATGAGCGTGTTGCGCCAGGCCTTCAAAACATTCGATCGAGCCAATCTTGCCAGCTTCAATGCCAATCTGCAGCATTTGAAGAAGCTCACCGATGAGCTCACCTATCGTGATCTACATATCAAGGAGGAACTGTTCCGCGATGACGTCACCAGCGTCGACCGTGCGCCCTGCAGCTACATGCACATTTTCGAGGATGAACGCTTCTCCATGAGCCTGTTCATTGTGCGTGGCAACAATTCGATTCCACTGCACGATCATCCCATGATGTACGGCCTGTTGCGTTGCATCTGGGGTAAACTGCATGTGCAGAGCTATACACAGCAGCTGCCCGCGGATGAGCCGCTACAGTATGAGCCAAATCCCACATTGGTCAACGTTGTCGCCGAGGAGCCCTGCCTGCTGACAGCGGAAACAGCGAGCGCATTGCTCACACCACGCAAACGTAATTATCATCAGATAGCGCAGGCCGGAAACAGCATTGCTGCTTTCTTCGATATACTCAGTCCGCCGTATGATGCCAATATGCCAATACATGGTCCACGTCGTTGCCGCTTCTATCGCCCCGAGCCCGATGGGGAACAGCTGCAGTTGCAGTGCATCCCCTCGCCAAATAGTTATTATTGTGATTTGGCCACCACACCGGATACGGTGCTACAGTGCGGCTTCGTTTGCGCCGCTGAAGCATACGATGCCAATGCCACAGCCGTAAAGTAAAATATCTTTTCACAATTTGTACGTTTTCCTTAATTTATTTCCACTGAACAAAAACATCATTTCAAGCATTTTCTGTGTTATTTAAATAAAATTGCCTCTTTTTTTATTGTTCGAGTGCAATGAAGTTCTCACTGGGTCGATGACAAATAATAGATAGTGTACACTTTACCATGGTCGTTTAGAAAGACGAAAAAATCAATATATTTAATTTAATATATCGTGTATCCATATGGAAATAATTCAGTGTATTCCCAAGAAAAAAGTGGAATTTTGGATGTAAGCTGCTCAATGATGATTCTTATTTCAGCATAGTTATAAAATAGGACAGTTTTAATTTACGAAGGACCACTGTACTTAAAAATATAACCAAAACTTGTAATCTAAGAATGTTGCGATAACCTTTCGAATGTCGCCTTGTTGCATTAATTCTAATCATCATTGTCATCAGCTTGGTAAATGCTTTGATTTCGCCTCTTGAGTTTCTTAAGGCTTGTACTAGGGTCAATTAACGTCTTTTTAGGATTCGTTTCCATTTCGGCAACATCTACAACAACGGCAGGCGGCACAGCCAGCTCCTCGGCCTCTTCATCCGGCAGATCAATGACGTTCTTGTCCGGCTCTGTGGCTCCTGCTACTGCAGTCGGCGCTGGTAGCAATAAATTCAATTTACGTTTAGTTGGTGTCGTCAAAGACTCGTCAAACACAAGACTCTCATCCACAGACTGCTTAATAGGACTCTTAGTCGGTGGCTTGACGTCTGTAGAGCTATTCAGTAAATTGCTGGGAGTTTGCGGCAGATCCTTGCCATTGGCCAGCATGGCCAAGCAGAGTGGATCATCTATGCCCAACAGGGAGCAGAACTCGTTACACTGTGGATTCAGCTGTGCTTGCGGGGGCTCAATGTGCATTTGCTTGTAATTGTGTTCCTCCTCCGGATCGAAGGACGGGACAGTGCGAGTAAAGTTTTCGGGCACCTTAAGATTCTCGAATTTGCTGCATATGTGGGCGAGTTCCTCGGCAGTGGGTGTGAAATTAGAGCGCTCCTCAATGCTGCCCGCCTTCTTACCCGGCAAGTAGTAGTTATTATCCTTGACAGAGATCAGATGATTTGTTGTGCGCAATATCGAAAGCCATTCGGCGTCGTATTGCAGAGTTAATTTTCCATCGGCGCTCTCGCTGCTGGGCATGTCCAGAACCTGTAGAAATCGTCGCTTGGGCAGGCATTTGTCCAGAGCCAAGAACTTGGTGACGGGCATTGGCGCCGCTGGAGCTGCCAACTCCGGCTCCTTCTGTTCACTTTCACTCTCGCTATCGCTGCTACTGCTGCTGCTTGAATCATTCGCATCCAGGGACTTGGATTTCTTCTCATGCGGATGCGGCACCAGTGCAGCGAATTTGCAATGCAAATGTGCTGCAAACCAATACGTGGGCTGCACAGCCTTCAACAGCTCCTCCAGTGGGCGACTGCCCAACTGTCCACTCTCAACGTCATCTTTGAAATGTGGCTTGAAGCGCAGCAGTTGCGCCTTGTTGCCGTATTCTTGAATACCCCGCGGCCAGTCGTGCGACATAAAGATATCCACCTTGCCGGAGAGTTGCCTCAAACGGAACACTTCCAACTGACGTACGTGGTAAACGCTGCGACATGTTTTATCCGAATACGGTGGGAATTCGTGGTGACCTCGCAAAAAATCATGTCCCTTATAAATGCCACTGATGCCCGCAATACGTATGCCATTTACAGTGACAACGCCAGCGTATCCCAGATAGTAGATATTCGGTGCCACCCAGCCGCCGTAGGGTAGTTCCTGCAGATAGTTGGAAGCTTCGTGATTGCCGCCAATAAAGATGGTCAGAATTGGAGCAACAAGCTCACCACTGTAATATCTGGAATGAGGTAAGACTTTAGACTACTGTCCTCTGCCCGCTGCAGTGCTAGCTACCTACTTGTAAAAGGAGCACATGTCCATGTACTTTCGTGGAACGGCCATTGTTTGTAAATCCGTAAGATTGCGCGTCGATTGAAAGTCTCCGCAGCAGAGCAGCAGGTCAATTTTTATGTTGCGTTCCTTTTCGATGCCTTCTATGGTTTCGTATATGCGCTCCAGTTCGCCGTGAGCGCAACCTTCGATGGCAATTTTCATTTTATAGCTTTTTTAAAATCGTTTCATAAAATATAAACAAATGCGGCATCAACACAACTTCCCACGCGAATGGCAAAACCCGATAGACCAAAAACTGTGTTATCAGTGCGCCTCCACAGTGCTGCTGATCATTAAAATCAACATGTGCTAAATTACGTTCCATTATAACACTGGTTTTACAAGCGCGCGAAAATATTATCGCTTCAAAAATGCAGGGAGATAAACTATCAAATAACACAGTCTGTGAAACTCCAAACAATGCAATTCAAACGTTAAAAATGTTTTTATTTTTCAAAAATATCGCTCCATCTAGTACGTTATATACGTGTGTGTGTGTGTGTGTGTGTGTGTAAAGACAATGTAAGTGAAATGCTCTGCGTTGAATTCTCATTCTCTGACCACTTTACGCTGGAGTGGGGCTGATCTTTGCTTAGCCGGGCGCAACCTCATTGCATGAGACGACGTCTAAATTGTTTTCTTAGTTACATACAATGATATACAATTGGTTTTTCAAACTTAAGTTATTATAATTTAGTTGGCATGGAGTTGCCAAAATAGAAATTTAAAAAATAAATCTACAATAAATATATAAAGCGATCACCCAATTACCGATCGCTCAACCGATGCATGCAACACGTGTATGTGTATATTTGTGTACACAATGTGTACGAGAATCTAGAAATTGCCTCAACACTCAACGTGTTGAGTTCCAGTCACTAATTGTTTTTTTTGTTTTTTTTTTTTCGTTTTTCCATTTTCGATTTCGTTATAGAAAGAATATGAGAAACAGTGAAGTCAGAAGAAATCGTACTAAGTTCGAGTCGCACAGTTCGCATTTAAGAGCCAAACTTAAATGATGTGGGCACGGTTGTTTGGGGGAATGCGAATCCACCCTGTTTCTCAATCAATTTCGATTCTTTGGCCGCCTTGCGCTGGTCAGCGGTCACGACCACATCCTGTAGCGCCTTTGCTTGTTCGGCCGTTAGGTTCGATGTCAACAGCGAATACCAGGCCTGATCTTGTGCGGAAAGTGCTGAAAGACATAAAATAATTGAAATCAGTAAGAATTCAATTGGTGTGTAATTCCTGAAGGTGTCTTATTACCTGTAATAACTTCCTTAAACGTCCAATATTCATCGATAGCGCTTTCGTTCTCCTCCTCGTCAATGGGCGTGGTAAATGTTTCGAGGCCAGTTTCATTCAGATCACCAACAGACTCCTCAGCCTCGTCGTCCGAATCTTCATCGTCATCCTTTATTTCGGCTTTCACTTCAAAGCCAGCCACGGCGCCTTTCGTTTTGCTAAATTCTGCCAACTTATCCAAATAGTTGGGCGCCATTTCGTCCATCTCATCCTCATCGCTCGACAAAGCCTCTGTGTGTGTGTGGTGAGCAACAAGTTGTCAAATCAATTTAATTTTGATTTTTGCATTTCGCGCTTACCTTCACAATCATCGCCATCCTCCTCCTCTTCTTCCTCCTCTTCCTCCTGTGCACGGGATTCGTAAGCACGCTTGAGACCATCGAAGAGCAGTATCAGCGATGGCACAATCTTGCCCGCCACCTCGCTCAGCACCTGCGGCTTGGCATCGCCCAGCGAGATAAGCGTACACAGGCCCAACACGCACAGCTTGCGATCGTGAATGCTACAGGATGATTGATTGATATATTGACATTGTTTAGTTTATAATTAAAGGTTGTGTATATGTCGATTTACCCTAGAAAACAGTCTGTATCATGCAGCCATTGTTTGATGAAATGTGAGCTAATTGGTTCGTTGTTGGGCTGCGACATCTTGTCAAGAATGGAGAGCAGCAGCTGCGGATTGTAATAGAGCGCCGCAATGACCACTTGAAGGCACATGGTGCGCAGCTCCGAAGATTGCACCTCACGTGTCAGACGCGACAGGGCCAGCTCCACAAACATATGTATCACCGAATCGATTTGGCCCTTGCACTGCAGTATAATCACCTCCATTAACTTGGCGGCATGACATTCGGGATCCTCGCCAGGATTGCCAGTAAGCATCTGCATAGCAAATACACAATTTATATAAGATTGCTAGCAATTGATTCAGGCTTAGTTCAGCTTACAGTTTTGCACATGTCCAGTATGGCCAGAAGGCGGTTCGGATTTGAAAGGAACGCTGGCGTATCGACGGTTACATAATTATGCAGCGCTGGCATAATGTCAATGAAATAATCGACCCCATCCTTCTTGAACACCTGATAGATTAGCTCGAGCATTTGCCACATTTCAGCTGAAATGGACTTGGACGTCAAATCGTAAACCAGCGAGAATGTTTCCTCATAGAAATCTGCGGAACAACGAATATTATAAATGAAAAAATTCATTGATTGTTGTTAATTGCTGTCAAACTCACCGGTTATGTTGTGCTGGAATATGTGACCCACAACGTTAATCACTATTGGATGCAAATTGAGCAGCACATCCGGATGTTCTTCCATTACACTGAGCAGCGTTTCTATCGTATTCAGCAGACCCATGGCTGTGATGGCCTTCTCATCGGAGCCCTCCTCCGATTCCAGCACTTGACTGAATGTCGTTGCCAAGTGCTGGCATATTTCTGTGGCAACCGGCAGCAGTTGCTCCGTAAATGTGCAAACAATCTTCTGCATGACATTTGTCAAGTCTTCGTTTTCGGTCTCGCGTATGATGGTCAACAGCTCCTTGGTAATCTCTTTAATTTGTGTCTCGACGTATTGGGGTGCCTCGTCCTGCGACGTTAGGAACATTTGCAGGCCCACGGCAGCCTCCACCTTAACGGGCAGCTCTTTATCTGTCAGCAAGGCATTAGTGGTCAGGCGCATAGTTTCGGCTAACACCTGAGGATTCTTGATTTGGACATCGCAGAAATAGTGCAATACCCAACAGGCACGTGCCCGCATATGCCCGGCTGGATTCCCGAATTCCGGAAATACATAGGTGGTCAGCATTGACTCGACCTGATCACGATATAGCGCCTTCTTCAGCAGGACATCCGCCAGGGTGCCAATCATGTGGAGGGCGCCATCCTTTTGCTTATTGTCCGCATTGGGTGAGGTAATTATTTGCATAATGGTGCTCATCGCCTTGGGCAGAATGCCCTTGCGTTTCTTACAGACGGAATGCAGCAGCGATTGTGCAGCCGGCACGGGCGTGGCATAATCCTCAAAAATATCTATGAAGCAAAGGCGATGAAATTAGTTGAAAAACAACACACAAATATATTTTTCGTGTGCCTACCAAACTTGAGGCGAATGTACTCATAGGGATCGCTCTCCCATAGCTCCTGATCCGAATCGGTAAACGACATGATGGGAAATATGACATCCTGAATAACGGCAACCATGTGCGGCTTAATCAGCTTCCAGGTGTAGGCGTGGCTCACACTGAAATATGTAAATTGATTGGTATTAAGACGAAATCCATTGGTTATTGCCATTAACATTGTTAGTGCGATTAATCTGCAATCTACCTACCAAATGCTAGACATATAAAACTTACGCAATCTTCAGATAGTTTAGCACATCCGTAAGGACACGTGGCGATACATAGACACGATTACGATATTGATCTAGAATTTTGAGCAGAACCTCCAAGACGCCAGAACTAAAGGTGGGTAGATACCATTCGGCGAATTTCTGATACTTTTCGCTAACCACGCTGCTGGGACTGCCATAACTGTAGCAAAAAATAAATATATATACAGATTTTAGAGTTTTAGTAATATGTATTTAAAAATGTCTCATCTTACCGCTCAAACATGCGCACCATAATGTGCAGGGCCCATTTCTTAGTTTTCCAGTAGGGGAATTCGGTGCGTTCATCGTCATCCAGATGCGAGCAATCGGGCACAGCACGATCCGCAATCTGACGACAGATTTCCATCCACTGCGAGAAGATCTCCTTGGTAATGAGATCGAGCGGCAGACTGTACTGCGTTAGTGCATAGTAAATCTTGAGTATTTGTTTTTGCAACAGCACCGATTGCTCCGATTGATCGTTGAGTAGCGTCAGTATCAGCTGATAAATCATTGGCAACAGCAAATTCATTGCCTCGTTCAGTGGTGCTCGCTCCTCGTAACGTTTGTATTCATAGGTCTTGACCAGCTGATACATGGTCACCAATGCACCGTTCCAGCCATTCACATCCGGATTCTGCAAGTAGATGCTAATGTTGTCCACCACTTGAGGCCATCGTCCGGGAAAATCGCTCTTGATGATATGATTTACGCAGATAGAGAGCTGAACTCTGTGGAGGAAGAGGAGGTAATGCATTACAATAACCATCATTGAGAACTTTGGCGATCTGCAAAGCTCACCTGATCAGCTCGGGGGCATGGACAATGGCATCCACAATGGCGCCGCGTATCATTGCGCGATCCTGTTCGTGTATGGAGAATGGTATGGGATCACCCGGCTTAGTCTCATGATCCGACCAGCTGCTGTTGACCAGGTTCTTGAGATAGACAACTCCCGCTTGCCTAACCGGCTGCTCCAGCGACGTTTGCATTACGATTTGCAGTATGGTCGGCACAAATCCAATGATTTTGTGTATCTAAGCGATAGATAGAACGTGTGAGAGGAGAACCCATTAGTAAATAGTATTTTTTCTGGCGGCTGTCGATTTGTTTACACAGCTGCCGCACAACATCGATCTATGAGTAACTGGAAACAGCAGTTGCCCATGCAAGAGAATTGGAAAACTTATATTGATAAAACAATAGCAAGAAAACACACATGTAGCACCAGCCACGAAGCTCCTCCACCCAATCCGTAACATTTAAAATTCCAGGCACAATTCCCCGTAGCTATATAATAAATGAGTGTACAAATGTATGTAGGTATAGTTATTTTAAATGGCATGCGTTCGCTTCGAACGTTATGAGCCGTGGCTGTGACAGTACTTTGAAATATATGCTGATAAAGTTAATTAACCGATTGAATAAGGAGGGGCATGGAAATCGTTAGAAGCTGACTCAGCCAACAAAATTAGAGCCTCTTGAACAGTGTGGCAAGCACGTGAACTCTGATACTTTTATGCAAAGTTAATTACTGCCAATTAAAAATAAAACTCTGCTTCAGTATCTTGCAAAAATACAAAACCCGATCTTTGGTTTTACCATTTTTTTTTTTTTAATTATACAACAGTCTTAAATATTAAATGGATATTTTGGTATGATCGAATTTACTAACATTTTAAACATTTTCTCACTGTTTTTTCAACGATTTCAACCACTGTGCAGCACACACAGAGACAGACACATATGAATATGGATGCGTTCGTTGCATTTGTTAGCGCGCTTCTCCCGTCTACATTACTTTACTTGTTGCCGCAAAGCAGAATGGGCTTCTGGGCCACAGTTAAATGTATTACAGACAAAAAATAGTTGTTGTTTTCTCTGATGTTTTTGGCCAATATCAATTTACTATTGACATTAGCACACCCGCACAGCACACACACACACAGACACCACGCACACACAAACACATACTCACACACAAACACATACTCACACACACACAGAGCTGATAGGCAAGGAGGGAGGTTAAAAGCGAACAATTAAAAAAAGCACATGGTTTTCATCTGGCTGTGGGCAACAGCACCGATGGGGGCAAGTGAGCATGATCGAGTTGTGGTATTTTGTTGGGCGTTTTTAGCTGGGAACTTACTTGAGCTAATTGCTCCTCGGCCGCTTTCCTTTGCTCCGGGTTTTGATCGATGGTTGCGCGCAACAGTTCCGTCAATTTTTGTGCCTCCATTTTCAGTGTTGGTGGTTTAGTCCTGTTCGCCGGTTTTGCTGTGTTTTCACTGCACAAACAAAGAAGCACCCACTAAGCACCCGCAATTCGCTCGAGTTTAGCTAAATTATCGATACAAATGGCGCTCTGGCGAAGGCCAATTGCAAAATTATACGCTAATAGGGGAAAACGTGGAAAAAGGCTGTCACATCCAAACACACGCACACGGCCGAATTTCGCGAGTACGAACGAAGCGTGAAATATGTATATTATCGATAGTTTCGATTAATTTCGGACAGTGCTGTAAAATGCTTGCGACCAATGCAACGCTGTTCATGTAGATGTTGTTCATGTACGTGTATGTGTGAGTGAGTGACAAAGAGCGAAGTTTTTCTAAATGACACATCGTCGTTGGAGGAGGTGTGGTTGAAAATTTATAAAGTTTGGTGTTTATCAGTGAGACAAACGAATTTAAAGTGGTGTATAACTCCAGCTTGAACTGTTAATTGGCCCGTTAAATATCAACATTAAGCAAATCCTCAGTCACCATGGCAGGCAGGCTACCGGCATGCGTAATTGATGTGGGCACCGGGTAAGTTTCATATGTGGTAGTTTGTGGTAGTTGATGCCCCGCCGTTGCTCTGTCTGCGAAGGGTGCGGAGGATGTGCACTGGCAGCAGCAGTAGTGTAGAATGAAGGAGATTGCTTGTGTCGCTAATGCTCCAAGGTTTACCTTTGCAGCTACTCGAAACTGGGTTATGCTGGCAACAAGGAGCCACAATTCATAATACCATCGGCCATTGCCATTAAAGAGTCGGCACGCGTCGGCGACACCAACACGCGACGCGTCACAAAAGGCATCGAGGATCTGGACTTTTTTATTGGGGACGAGGCATTCGATGCCACGGGCTACTCCATTAAAGTGAGTAATTTATCAATATACATGATGATAAGAAAACATATGATTTATGCCTCGACGCTAAAGCACATAAAGATTTAGCCATTATTTAAATGTTTGCTGCTTGGCTTTTAACAGTATCCTGTGCGTCATGGCCTGGTCGAGGATTGGGATCTGATGGAGCGTTTCCTGGAGCAATGCGTTTTTAAGTATTTGCGTGCCGAGCCAGAGGATCATTATTTTCTGCTAACAGAGCCGCCACTGAATACGCCCGAGAATCGTGAATACACCGCTGAAATTATGTTCGAAACGTTTAATGTTCCTGGCCTTTATATTGCGGTGCAGGCCGTGCTGGCTCTAGCAGCCAGTTGGGCATCAAGATCCGCGGAGGAGCGCACACTGACAGGCATTGTTGTAGACAGCGGTGACGGTGTGACGCATGTTATTCCAGTGGTAAGTAAAATGTAATATGGTTCGCTTCAGCCGTATATCTTATCGCTTCTTCACTCAATCGTCAATAGGCCGAGGGTTATGTGATTGGTTCGTGCATCAAGCATATACCGATCGCCGGTCGCAATATAACGTCGTTTATCCAGAGTATATTGCGTGAGCGGGAGGTGGGCATACCGCCAGAACAGAGTCTCGAGACTGCCAAAGCGATTAAGGAGAAGCATTGCTACATATGTCCAGACATTGCCAAAGAGTTTGCCAAGTACGATTCAGAGCCAAGCAAATGGATACGCAACTATACGGGCATGAATACCGTCACAAAACAGCCGTTCGGAGTGGATGTTGGCTATGAGCGTTTCCTCGGCCCGGAAATCTTTTTCCATCCGGAGTTCTCAAACCCAGACTTTACCATACCGCTGTCGGAGATTGTTGACAATGTCATACAGAACTGTCCAATCGATGTGCGACGTCCGCTATACAACAATATCGTACTGAGCGGCGGTTCAACCATGTTCAAGGACTTTGGCAGACGCTTGCAACGCGACATTAAGCGATCGGTGGACACGCGTTTGCGTATTAGCGAGAATTTATCTGAGGGACGCATTAAGGTGAATGCTAATGATTTAAGCTAATGATGAGTCAGATTCTAACAGTTGTCTCTCTTTTAATTGACAGCCAAAACCAATCGATACGCGGGTGATTACGCATCATATGCAGCGCTATGCCGTCTGGTTTGGAGGCAGCATGTTGGCCTCAACGGTAAGTCTGATTAATTGTTCATATATATAGATATATATACTAAGCATAATTTTAATTCGTTTTGCAGGCCGAGTTCTATCAGGTGTGTCACACAAAAGCTGCCTATGAGGAGTATGGACCCAGCATTTGCCGTCACAATCCCGTCTTTGGTACCATGACATAATCATAATCGTTTCAATGTGCATAACTGCGCTATTATTATGTATTTCTTATTATTTTCGTTTTGAGTTCGTTTTCTATATTCACTGTATGCGATCGATCACGTATTCCACGCTATATAGTATTGCTTAGCCGTTAGTAATGATTTTCTATGTGTTAAGCTCTAAAGTTGTCTAAAAATGTTTTGTATATCAGCAATATGCGTAATTCATATTTGGCCAAATGATTATTTCTTGTGTGATTCTGATTTTGAATTAAGCTAAAAAGATCTTTAAACAACAATATCTGCCAGTTAAACTTTTTATAAGGTGCATTACTTCTACAAGATTATATAATGTATATGTGTAACTTTTTATGACCTACACACACACACACACAGACACATACTAAATCAAACCCAAAAACACATACATTATATACACACACACACACCAAACGGCGCTCCATTGAATCCCGCTCTTAACACAATTATATATGAAATTGTACTTGTCATAGTAATATTTGTATTTATTGCAATAACTGCAAAAGGTTTATATGTAAAAGAGAAAAAGATGAAAACTAATATTGATGAAAAATCTGTTTGTTATATTGATAAGCGTAACTGAAAAAGGCATTCATTAAATCAATAAAACATTCTTTAAGCTCAAGGTGACATATACTAAAGTCTACAATTATTTCCATCCCATCAATCGTAGAGTAAAAAATCACTCTCAATGTTTTGTTCTAAAGCTTTGACAAGAAATTTTTATTTATGCATTATTTTGAATACATGTGTGTTTTTTAAAAAATGCGCTAATATTCAAATTTTGTGACTGCTGCGATTAAGCTGAACGGAAAGCATCGTGTTTTTTTTTTTTTCAAAAACCAACTCAAGCCATAAGCATTTTTAGCGATGCAATTCGTGAAGATTTTCTCGATAGATAAAACTGGCGTGCATGAAGGTTGTCTTTAAGTGGCTGTGCTGGGTATATATATAATAATATAATAAACATATTAAGTGAAATTGACTTTTCTAATCCACATAGTCGCTGGATCCTTCCTCTTCGTCATCGTTACTGCTGCTCGACTGCGCAGCGGCTGTTTCCGGGGAGCGCAGGTGCTCGGCAAGTCGGAAGTTTGTCAAAAATTCGCGCATGGCATCCATCATCAGGGTCAGCGATTGCTGGAGGCCAGCTTCTACAAGAATAAATCAACAAAATTCGTTTTAAGTCGCAATAATTCTAATTAACATAGATAACTCAAAATCCAAACAACAAAAAAACAAAGAAAAAGAAAACTAAAGCCAATGTAACCTTCAGCTTCGCCCTGTCCGTTGGCCTCGCGTGGTGGGGGTGGGATGCCTAAAACCATTGGAGCCGCTGCCGCCCCAGCTCCACCAGCCTCGACTGCCGCATCCCCTTGTTGCTGCTGGGCGGCCGCAATGTTCAGATTGAATGAGGGTAACAGCGACTGGAAAAACATGGATACAGAGTTGTTCGTGTTTGTGGTTGGGCTGCTGCTCGACGAGGATTTGCTGTGAACGCAAGAAATTAGCAATTGAAATCCTCGAGTATCCAGTTGTATGTATTTTTCTCAACTAACCGTTGATAGCAATTGACACTGTCTACGGGTGGCAGTGGATCATAGGTCATGATGGCTTGCTTTTCTTTCGAAACAAACACGGCTAACGGCACCTTCTCCTTGTAATCGGAGAGGATGACATGCCGCAAAATGGGGCGCGGTGGTGTGCCACCATAACGCAGTGAACGTTTCTCTTTGTAATCGCTGACGAGCGGATCCTTGCTGTCAATGCGATCCAGTACAATATTAACATTGCTCTCCAGCCAAGTGAGCACATCGTTTTGCCGCCAAACAACCTTGGCGCGGCACACATACAAGCAAACCAGTTGATTAAGAGCTGGCGATTGACTGAGTGAGAGAGAGAGTTTAATGATTAGATTGGACGAGCAGGTTGATAATATAACTGAATGAATGTAGATGGATGACTCACTTGCCCGAGACATCGGTAAAGAAATATGATGAAGCCACGACGCGCTTATCCGTATGCACGGACATCTCGTCCAGCAGCGGGCGCAAGACACCCGGAAACATGAGCAACGCATATTGCAATGCATCATTGGCACGCTCGCAGCTGCCGTGCAGGGTGTAGAGGGCCAGGGCATAAGAGTATGCCATGTTGGGCAGCTGGGCAAGATTGCGTGAGGCATTGTACAGCTCATAGAATTCCACCAGCCAGCCAAATTGCTTGCTACGCAGCGCATAGTAATCGACGACAAGAATCATGGCTAACGGATCCACGTCCGGCTGCAGGCTCAACAGCAGCTTTGAGATCTCAAATGCTGTGCGGCAACAGGCACGCTCCTCCAAATATTGGGCATGCTTGAAGAGCACAATGAAGAACGCACGATTCTCCTGTCGTCGATAGTCCAGGCGCGAGTTGCCCGACGTTAGGCTAAAATTGATGTGCACCGACGATTCCAGCAGCAGCAATGCACGCTCAATCAGCTCCGATGCCAGAGCAAAATCCTCGGTCATTTTGCACACCTCGCTGAGCTGCACAAGCGAATCGACGTGGTAGGGACAACGTTTGATCAACGTGATCAAAAACTCTGAATCGATGCGCTCCAGAGCAGAGAGAAACATATGCTGCACACCCTGATAGTACTGGCTGTGCTGGAAGCTAAACCATTGCACATTCTCATCGTCGTTTATCTGAATGTTGGGAATCGTGGAAGTGCCAGGTGTGTTGGGTGTGGGCAACAACTTCATGGTGATAATATTCTTGGTCAATGGTGGCCATGAATCCTTGGCAGTTACCATGTAGGTGGATTTCAGTGTGGGCTTCTGGCGACCGCGCTTATTTCTGAAGATCAAAAGAAGAAAAAATAATTTTATTTTTAAATCTGATATTTGCTCTAAGATAAATGAGGAGTTTGGAGAACTGTCTGATAAGAGGAGTAATCTCATTAAAAGCCAGTTTTTGCCAAATTACTCACTCGACTTTGACAACGCGCTTGCCAAACGTGCGTCGCATCTCGTTTTGTTGATTCAGGTGTTTCAGTTCCACCGTCAACAGTTTCTTGCTTGCCAGCTGGCCACTCACTGCACCTGCAGCTCCTGCTGCTGCTGATGTGGTCTTCTCCAATTGTTTGGGCACAGCATCGTAGACTTTGCCCAGCAGTGGATCTACCTTGGCAAAGTATTTATCTTGGCGTTCGTTATCCTCGCTGCTGATGTGATTGCCTTGCGATTTGACCTTCTTCTTGCGTTTCTTCTTCTTCTTTTTGGCAGCGGAATTTGACTGAATTGCTGCCGATGGATGCTCCGTCTCGTTGTCATCCTCCTTAAACTCGCTCTCGGAGAGACTCTGTTGGTTGAGCTGCAAACATCCGCACATTGTTGACGTCAACAATACGCACAAATACACATACGTATGTTTTTTTTATGACTTACCAAATCAAATGGATTTAAATGCGATTTTCCTCGAACCGTGTCTAGTTCGTCATTGTCAGTTAGATGGTCGTTGTCTAGGTCATCATCTGGCGGCGCAGCTAGAATATCTGAGCCACCTTGCATCTTCTTAAGCATGCGTGCAGACATGTTGGTTTTTTGAATTGTTACTAAGCAAATTTACGCATGAAAATAAGTTATTTACATTAACTTGTTTTCTATTTTCTGTTTCTGTTTCTATTTCAATACAGACAGCCCTGTCAAAGCACATGAATGTTATTTACATAACAGTGTCTTTAACATTATAATCAGCAAGCGCTTGGCAGCACTTTTTGTCGTTTATATTCTTGTACCGGTCACACTGACATTCCCGCTTCTAGCAAGAAAATGCAGCGGAATTGCTCGAATTCGTTTGTTTAGTGTTTTTGCAAATGGAAATAAATCTTGTTTTGCTTATAATTATTTTTTTTTGGATTGTTTAATGTTAAAAGATTGTTGTCTACTTTGTTACGTGTGTGTAAAAATCGAAGAGAAGTCAGCTTATGCCGGATTAAAAGTTGTCCCATACATATTGCAAATATTCGCGCCATTTTTTGTTTGTATTTTTCTAATTACGGCGCTTTAAGATGAAGGTGTCCTTTAGAATAGATGACAATAATAACAGATCAGCGGTTCAGCTGGAGCCGGATATAATATATCGAATCGGACGCAGATTGGGACTGGAGTTGCACAGTGACGATGAGGTGAGTGGTGTTAAGACTGAAATTCCTCTACAAATGTTTAACTTTAACTTCGTTTTTATGTTAATTTTAATCCTTCAGACCATGGAGCTTGCACACGCCACAATTGCTCTTTTGGCCGATGGGAACGTCCGGCTCTCAGCTGTGGCCGGCAAGGTTTTTGTGAATGGCCTAGAAACGGGAGAGGAAATCAAAAACATAAGCAAAATAGATGCCGTTGATGGAATCGTTAATTTGAGCTTTGGCAAAGTTGCAGCCAAGCTGCACTTTAATGCTGTCAATCATTTGGATATCGAAGCTGTAAATCAGTATCAATTAAAGACTTTTACACTTTTAATGTCCGACTTTTGTTGCAGGCCTACGATACGAGCGGCTTTGAGGAGAGCACAAAAGACAAGACTGTGAATACGACTGCTGATAGCTTGAACATTCCTGAAACGGAGCCTCAATCGATAAACACTACGGGCAATCGGGACAGTTTCATTATTCCGGAGACCCAGTTTGTTAATCTCAATCGCTCTTCAATGGCTAGCAAAGCGTCGATGTCTTCAATGGGGGAAGATTTTCTAATACCCGAAACTCAAGATGTTCTATTAGAAAATCCTGTTCAATTGCAACAACATCCAGACAAAAACATTGCCAGCGACGAGGAGTCTTCAGAGCTGGGCACCCAAATACGTATTTGCACACAGGACTTCAATGAGATCAATGAAGATGCTATCGATGATTTTGACTCGTCTCTTTTGCTTGGCGATGGTGGGCTTACAGTGCTTCCAACTCTAGGCCAGGCGAAGGGTAATTAAAAGCATTCTTTTATTAGCAACTACTTGTTTTAAATTTGCTGTTGATCTTTAGATAACAAGAATGGTGCTGACTTGGAAATGAGTGCCTTAAATTGGTCTGCATCCAATTCAAAATGCACTGCTTTAAACAGTACCAAGGCTGATGAAGTCTCTACGCGTGGCGACATCTGCCTAACACCAGATCAATCTGTTGCCGGACAACGATCCAATGAACTTGAAGATGTCCCCTCCACGCCAGACATATTCGAATTGATCGGAGATGAACCCAATGAGCGACAATCAAATGAGCCTGGCACATCAAATCGAGATGACACCCAGCAGCTTTCCGTGGCTAAGCTGCCGGCAGCTGCCAATATTGAGACGCCAGAGTCCAATCCTTTGGAGCAGGAAGATAATTCGCAAGATTTCATTGAAACGCAGGCGTTTCCCGCGCGAAACGCAATTTCTGTGCAGCCGAATTTACTTGACAGCGATGATAGCATGCAGGAATTCTTTGAAGCGCCACGATTGATTACTGGATTTATTGAAAACCAGGCAACAACGGCTATGGCAAAGCCCAATCAAAGCAGTGCCACAAGATTGAGTATCGCAGCTCAAGTACACAACAATTTCGAGGACTTCATTGAAACGCAGCCATTCCCCACTAAAAAACCACTAACTACGTCCTCCCCATATACCAAGGCGAATAAAACTCCAGAAAATATGCAGGACTTTATTGCCACACAGGCATTTATTAGACCCCCTCCAAAATCCATGCCTAAATCAAATGAAATATTGAGGCCAAATTTAAATAGTTCTGCCGAAATTCATAGTAACGAGGACCTGAAGGAGACTCAATTATTTATACCTCCCACGAAGAAGACTGATAAAACTGCTGGTAATATAGACGGAGATAATTATGTATAATCATAACAATAAACATGTTTCTTAGATAATGAAAACGTAGCTGATTCCCTCCAGTTTTCCCTCAACTTAAGTTTGAGAGATGATTTAGATGCAGAGCTCAAAGAACTGATTTCATTGTCTCCCTTGATGAACACACCATCCGACTTTGAGCAACAAAATAAGTTTGATTTTGATGAAGACAAAATGCAGGAAAAGAAGGTATTAACTCATCTTCGATACAAAAATGTTAAGCGTATTTCTCGCTTTCACCCATTAAAGCTCTTCATTTTCGCAGATAAGTCAATCTAAGGAAGTCCCAATTCAACCAGGCAGCAAACAAGGAGCTCAACAGAAAGCAGCAAAAAACTCCGGTTGTAAACGTTCTGCAACACGCTCAAAATCACCGGAAATGTCACGTAAGTTATAAACCTATTAGACATATAAAATTCACAAACACATATTTTCTATAGCAAGCAAAAAAAATTGCACTGAACAATTGCCAGAGTCATCGACTTTACCAGGAAAAGCAGTCGCTGAAATCAAAACACCGGCAATAGCAACAAGGACGCGACAAAAGCGGTGTACCGAGTCAAGCGGAGAGCCAACAGCACGTTAGTTGTAAGTCATATTTATGTGTGCAAAGTAATGAAGGTATTTGATTTCCCTGCAGCTCCGAAAAAGGCGAGGAGCCAAAGAACACTGCCAACTGTTGCCAGCACTGTCGACGCAATAACAAAGACAGGTAAATCTGCAGATGAGCAAGTATCCAATGAACGTCGCCACGGTAGACAACGCAAAACTTCGACAATAACACCAAAGTTGACAGAGTCCTCGAGCGAGACGAATACTGAATCAACGCATCAGAGCGAAGAGTCTGTGAAAGACCTGAAGAGGAGCGACACTGAATCTGCAAGCGGCAGCAAAGTAAGTAAAGAACGAAAATTAAAGCAATCCAAGGATGACAAGCCGTCGATTGGGGAGGCAACAAAACCAGTAAGCCGCAGGGCAGGACAGAAATCTCATATAGGTGACGTTGTAATCAAAATAAAACGACAAAAAATTTCAACAAGCATGAATAGTGCTCTTCAAGAAGACACATCATTCGCTGCTGCAACAAGCAAAGAAAAGGCTATGACCAGCACCTCTCAGGAGGTGGCAAATGCCAGCAGCAAGAGAGCGGCTCGAGTACGCAAGACTGTGAACAGCAGCGAAATCTCACAGGAAGAGGAGCCATCGACTAGTGCTGAGGCCCGAAAACTTAGTAAGTTTAATTTGCCACTCGAGTTGGGTATTCTTTTCAATAACTCAACTCTATTTTCCTTAAAGGTATTCGCAGAAAAAATCTGCCACGTAAAGGTCAACTGAAAGGTAGAGTTTAAGAATTGAAGCCGCAACAATTTATATTGAGATTTATCACTTGCAGATATAAACGACTACATTAAGAATATAAAAAGTTCTGGACGAAAAATAAGGTTGTCACTAACAATGTGCAATAATGCGGAACTGCACACAGTATTGAGTTATCTAAGAAGTAAGTTCTTAAATTATTTAACTGAAATTGATGCTGAACAGTATATATCCTCTTATAGATAACGTTGAAATTAGTAATGATCCATTAACCTGCGATTTGCTAATCATGGATAAGGGCGAACGCACATATAAGTTTTTGGTTGCAATTGCATCGAACAAGCCCGTTTTATCGTCTCGCTGGCTGCACGCGCTGAGGGAAACCCGTTCCATTGTTGTGAAATCAGAGCACATCTTCAGCGATGCGAAGTTTGAGGATATCTTTAAGTTTAAACCCTTATCAGTATTGGAAAAACCCAGTTTATTGAAAGGTCTCAATTTTATGCTAGGCAACGATATACTGCCAAATGCTAATGAAATGAAAGGTAATTGAATCTGTACAGATTTGTCAGCTTGAGTCTTATTTAAACAGTTGTTTTTCATTCAACAGCCATTATTCAATGCGCCGGGGGACATGTGTACACAAGAGCGCCTTCTGTTGCAAGCATTGTGCCATTCTATGTGGTAACGAGTAAGAAGGAGAAGAAACTATGGTCACATCTCAGGGACTACACGAATGTACACTATATAAAAACTGAAGGCGTTATGCAAGCCTTATTGCAAGTCAATCTAGAGCTGCTGGATGAGCACAAGCTCACATTCTAATTTAAAAACAATTTTCCTCCAATTTACACATACATAATATGTAAAGTACTTTGTTAACAAATCATTGAAATTGTAGAATTATTATTGCATGATCAGTTTGAACAAGTCGAGAAAGATTGACTTCAACTGCTTGCGCCATATGTAATCTCAAAAGAGAAGTTTCACTCATCATCGCCAAAAGCTTTGATTTATGTTTAAGACATTTTGTGAATATAATTTGTAATATATTTTCATGTTTACATTAAGTGATTTATATTATTCTAACTTTTTGCGTTTGGAACCTGTTGGCTTGTCAAATTGCTGCCTCATGCCGCCAGCGCGCTCATTGTGAAATTTCATATTGTTGGATGTCTCCGCATACCACGGTGAATCGAATTTTGTTGTGTCCTGATCAACTAAATGCGTGTATTTGGTGCGACCGCAGCGCCCGAAATTCTTCACTTGCATCACCTTGGGCAGAATGGTCTTGTCAAAGTGATCCTCGAGCGTGGCCTGTGCAAAGTCTCGTTTCAGCACATCGTTCTCCTCGTCCAAGTAGAACGCACCGCGATGATAATATTTCTGCAGGAATTTATATTTGCCTTTGGTCGCCTTGTTGGTGACCAGTTTGGGATTCGAGCGCAGCTCCTGGCGTCGCTCCTCCTCGGTGAGATTGCGCATGCGTTCAATTTCCAGTTTATCGCGCTCAGAGCTGTAAAGTAATAATTTTTTTGGTGTTTTATTTTTTGAGGTGATTCTACAAAGATTACTCACTTGTCACGCTCCTCGCGATCCCGCTTCATGCGCTTGAGCTCGCGTAGTTTCCAGGCCTCGTATTCCACTTCGTCGTTCTCATCGGCCGTGCACACATCGTCAATGGACGCCTCATTTGTCTCTGGCTTGATCTTCTCCAAGTCCTTTTTCACGCTATCCTCCACCATGCGCAGTGTGGCCCGTCTACGCTCCTTGGCTGCTCGTTTCGCTTCGGCTTCCAATTGCTTTTGCTTTTGAGCTTCCCGTTCTTTTTCTTGTATGGTGGCCCGATCTCGTTTGCGCACAAAAAGCGGTTTCAGACGTGGTTCGTTTTCCTCCTCGCTTTCGGTTTCCTCCTCGTACTCGGAGCTCTCCGACTCCGATGATTCCGACTGCTTTTCGTCCTCCTTTTGCAGCACTTCTTCTTCACGTTGTTGCTGCAACATGCGCGCCCGCAGCTTTGTACGACGCGTCTCCAATTCTGTGTCACTTAGCTCAGAGTCTGTGTCGGACTCGGAGGCCAGCGTTATTTTGTTGGTGGCACGCTCGATGCGTCGCTGCGTTTCGGCGTTGTTGTCATCTTGGAGCTCCTCCTCTTCGCTCGCGCTCTCGACCATTTCGGGCTCGTGGATGTGCCTGTGGCGTTCACGACGCTCGCGTTCCAAATCCTCCACATCCACAGGGCGTGCACGTAGTCGCCGCAGACGCGGGTCATCAACCTCGGCCTCATCTTGCTCCGCCGTATTCTTATCGGCGCTGTTGCGTCGCAGCAGCTCGACTTTGTGGCGCTCCGCCTTGTGGCGTTCCAATCGCTTTCGGTTGTCGACGAAGTCATCGTCATCGCTCTCATCCGAGCTGGAGTCGGCGCGTGCATAGTCGGGTCGCTTGCCAGATATATATCGCTGCACCTTAACCTTTTGCATGGATATCTCGCCTGGCGCAAGAAAAAGAAATTATTTTTGTTATACGACTGCTGCACGAACACTTTCAGATAACTTACCCTTCTCGTTTCGTATGGGCACCGCACCGGCGGTGCATTGAATCCCCGTTGGGACTGATGGAGCGCTCATTATGTTTACAAATTTTCCAATGCAACTTAGTTTCTACTTTAATATTTTTATTTTATCAAGATTTATGTTTGTTTCTGTTAGGGCTGTGACTATGTTCGATACTATCGATAGTCGCGTATCAATACCGATACTGATAACGACAGTGCCATTTTGAGTTGAACTTTTCAACAAGTCGTTATTAGACGTTATCGAATCCACTGAATTTAAAAATTATTCAGCTGATGCTGCCTGTTCATTTTGTTTGGCGCTAAGCTTAAACTTATTTTGGTTACCTGTTATTGTGTGCAATGACTCACATTTTAGATGAAGTCTCCCACTAATTGAGACACATTCAATAATTAATGCTATTAATGTAAGACGCCGCCAATTTTAGCAATTTCAACGCCCACTTTCATTAATGAAAACAATTAGCAATTGACTTTAGCGCTTTCTTTTCGCAACATCCAGGGGCGGAAGACACAAACGCCAAAGGTCGCCTGAAAATTCTACACTTACTTTTATAGGTATAAGTAAGTTGTGTCTTCTTTTTTATTTATGGTTTTGCTAACAGCAGCAAACGTGCTGCCTGCCTCAATAAGTGGTCTTGACTTTGAGGGTGCCTCTACAACCGCGTGCTGCACTTGTCGAAATGCTGTTGTTGGCCTAAGAGAAGCATTGGCCAATTCGCCATTTGATTGGCTCATTATGGTCTTCATTTGACTTGGTTAATTAAAATCATAAAAGTTAAGTTACAAAGCATTTTCATATCTCTGCACATAGATTCCTATTCCATTAATCTTTGTTTGCAGCACCTCTCATAAATTGTTAATAATGTACAAAAGTCAAACCCTTAAGACAATTTCTACATTTCAATAGAAATTTATTGCTCCAAATGTTCTTGTTATTTTGTTTGTTTGATAACTTTACGGCGCTTGTGACAAATACTTTCAATTCCCATTTCTAATACATTTCAATTAAAATTAAACACTCACATTTTGCAAGAAGAGCGCAAACATCATACAAATAATTGTAAGCAAATAATTTTCTATCAAGAATAACGAAAGCCATTCGCTTGCTCGCTGTTGGATGGACGATGTAAATCGGTACCAGATTGAACTCGTTATCGTTATCCAAGCATTGGACATTACCAAACATGCATAGCCGGAGACGCAATTGAACTGACCACATACAGATAAACTCGTATAGACGCTCAAATATTAATTGGCTCACTTTTTTCTTGTGTTTTTCCTATGCGACTTATTTGAGTTACTTAAGAATTGGAGAGTCACAAAGGGCGTCAATTGCTCAATAATTAAACTATTATATTTTGTTTAGCACGCACATTGCTTAATGCTTGTAGAAATGTATTGAATGGGGACGCCACCGATTAGCCTTTTGGATGCGTGTCCAATTAAAGTTGTTTCGGGAAGAGGTCGTCGCCAGAATTTGCGTAGAATCCCATCTCACAGGTTGAGTGCCTATCAATATTTATTGAAAGGGGCGACAAATCATAAACACAAGCTGAAAGATGTATATAATTTTATTAGTATCTCGAAATTTTCCACACTTAAATAACAAAAAAAACTTAATTACAAACCTATTGATTTATTTACCAACATTGGGAAATAAATTCTCGAGTGCAATAAAAATAATCTAAATTAACGTTTGTAGAATGAAAGTTGATTGAGAAATGTTTTTTATTAGCTATTAAAGTTTAATAATAAATACAAATTAATACAATTTATGACAACTACAAAATGCATTTTGTCAATTTCTTGAATACATCAATTAAAGCCCTGTTCAGGTCTCGTCTTGGTGCGCCACGCTCTGCTCTCATTGAAAGCGATCAGCGACTCGCCGTTATTTCTTAGCCAGACTCGCGCTCTTCGCGATCATTTTGCTTACGCTCTTTCATTGCCCAAGAAACTGAGAGCCGGAGCGAGATTTCTGGCCATATAAAAACGCCTAACGGTCCCAAAATACAGTCATTCATTTGAAAATTGTCAAAACGTTCGAACAACGAGAAAATATCAATAAAAAACGCGAATAACAAACGGACATCAGTTTAAATTTATAAAAATAACAAAAATATTACTTATTCATTGGCGAAAATTAATTTGTGACTTAAAAGTCCTTGTGATTAAAGTGTTGGGTTTTTGTGTTTATATATTAAATACAAATTATACATTTAATTTATTGTGCGTTGTTAGCTAACTAAACCAAACTGAACTTAATGAAATATAAAAATAATCGTGGCACAATTTTGCAAATACAATTTAGGACATTTTTGCCATAGCTTTGTGTTAAGCTTTAACGAATGCGAGATATAAAGGATACTCCAAGCGAACTCAAAGGATTTTTGCGAAAGGATTAAAAAACATTATTAAAGGTGAGTGGAAACCACATAACCCAAATTTATAAATAGTGGGAGATATAGTGTAATAAGTGCAACAAGAAGACCATGTCTAGCTAATTTATAAAAAAAAAAATGGATTATAAAACTCAAAATATGTCAGAAAAATATTAAATGATCTGTTTTTAAAAGCAACAAAAGCTCATAACTAATTACTTGAATAAAGAAGAAAGATATTGTAAACAGCACTTCATGAGATTTTAAAGCGTTAGGAACTTAATATTTATGTAAATAAGTATTTAATTTTTTACAATATTGCATAAGTAATACGACCCATAAAAAAGTCAATTAGCAATTTAAGTAGATTTTAATTTTTTGGCCCTATAACTCAATGCCCAATAAGCCCATAGTAGACACAAAAAAACAAAAAACTAATTGTTGTTTGTGTTCGTAATTTTTTTAAAATATTATTCAACACACACATCAGCCAATTTCAAGCATATCATAATGCAATTGTGTATTGCTTGTGTTCTTATTATTATCAAGTAATTCCAGTTTAATTATTAATGAACACACGGCCAGTCAGGCAGAGAGACAAATAAGCAAAAAATTCTGCCCAGAGATACGCGTATTTCAATTGACTCCATTAGATTCAAAAGCGGAGATCTTCAGAGAAAGTGAAAGAGATGGAGAGATTAAGAGTGAGAGAGAAATTCATTCTTTGAGTAACTCGCTTTTTACATTGGTAATTATGCGCCCTTTGGGCCTGCCGCTTTGGCTAGCCTCGTGGTTAGCCTCTGATTCTCCGCGTCCAGGGCCGATTTCTGGCTAAAACTGGCGCAAGCCGGCGCAGTTCAGCATTTCCAACGGAAACCAGTTAAATTCGCTTAAATCTCATTGATGTGCTCACATTTCCCACTTGCGCCAAAGAGAGGCCAGAAACCGCAGAGCTCTTCCTATTAAGTTTGCAGATTGCATATTCATCAGATACTTTATATATAAGTGCAATTTGTTTCAGCAATTAATTTGCCATGTCACAAGACTAGAGACTTTTGAGACTTGCACAAAACAAAAAAACTATAGAAATTAATGTTATTTGTCCTTGAATAATTTGACTCTTTTGTGAGCCGAAAGTGTCAATATAAAAAAATTAACAATTTTGATACAATAAACAATTAATGGCCACATCTTTTAATCAAATTGTTTATGTAAGGAAATACATATAGATATATTTGTACTTGAACATGAAAGCTGTGACCACACGAGTTGAATGTATCTTACAGATACAATTGCAGAACTTAATTGATTAACGACTACAGCCCACAGTCTTTGTAATTGCTGCCCATTGTAAACCTTGAACTTGATTAACTATCCGTCTATGCCAAAGTTTACAATTATTTTCTTTTCATTACAGTTTTTCTCGAGGTGCAACGCTTTTCCAATTTACTGGCCAACTCTTTTGCAACTCTCCAGCCATAATTTCAACAACTCTGCTCAATATGTTTGCCACCATTTTGAAATTGTTGACACTCTGCGCCTTGGCACATTCTATTATTGCCCACACCTTGAAGCAACAACAGCAGCAGCAGCAACAACAGCAGCAACAGTATTTGTCCATTTCACCTGAACAAAAGTATCTGATTGTGCGTGGCGAGACTCCTTCCGATTCGACCACATCCGAGGAGCATTTGCAGTTCAATGATGCAGCCACATTGCTGCTGTCGGCATTTAAGGCGCAACAGCTTGAGTCTGGCCTGGGACTCGAGGAGTGCAGCGAGCCCAGACATAAGGCGACCTTCTCTGGCATTGACTATTTCATATTGCTGGCCATGCTGGTTGTGTCTCTGGGCATCGGCGTCTTCTACGGCTTCTTCGAGAAGGGTGGCAGTTCGTCAGATGACTTTCTGCTCGGCTCGGGCATGAGTCTGCTGCCTGTGACACTGAGTCTCACCACCAGCTTTGTTACGGCTATTGAGCTGCTCGGCAATCCATCGGAGATGTATTTCCAGGGCACACAGTTTGTGCTGATTGTGATACCCATGGTCCTGGTCATACCGGTCGCCATGAAGATCTTCTATCCCATATACTTCAAAATGGAGCTGACCAGCTGCTATGAGTATCTGGGCATACGCTTCGGCAAGGAGATACGCATCCTTGGCGCCATGCTTTATGTCATACAGGTTAACTGATTGAACTCTCGCCTGGAACTATTTGTTTCAATTCATTATTATTTTGTATAGATGTGCTTTTATACTTCTGTTGCTGTCCTGGCGCCAGCCATTGCTCTGTCCAAGGCTACGGGCCTGGATACCAAAATTGCCGTCTTCCTTATTTATATCGTCTGCGTCTTTTACTCCTCGATGGGTGGCATTAAAGCTTGTGTTATTGCCGATTCGTTTCAGGTAAGAACTTTGTCGCTTGCAATTTTAATCCACATTAAAATATCCTTTATGTAATTTTTTTAGGCTGTTGTCCTGGCTGTCTCCCTGGTGCTCATTGTTGGTCTGGGGTGCTTCTATAGCGGCAATCCTGTGCAGGTCTTTCGGATCGCAGCTGAACGCGATCGCCTCGAGTTCTTCAAGTGAGTTCATTTCGAATTCTCTGTCCATGCTATACTATAATTTTGCACAATATGTTTGACAGCTTTGATGCCAATCCAACCACTCGGCATACGGTTTGGTCTGTGGTTGTTGGCGGCTTCTTTTACTGGACATCGCTTTTCTGCACCAATCAGGCTTCGGTGCAGAAGTGCATGTCCCTCAAATCCTTGAGGCTGGCCAAGATTGCGCTGGGCTTTGCCATCATCGGATTGATATTTGTGTTTCTGCTCAACTTTTATACGGGCCTTATGGTGTTCAATCATTATGCGGATTGTGATCCTTTGAGTGTGGGCCGCATCACAGCCTCGGATCAGCTGTTGCCCTACTATGTGATTAATACCTATGAGCATATTTATACTATTGCCGGCATCTTTGTTGCAGGCATTTTTGCGGCTAGCTTGGGGTAGGTCTTCATATGATATGATATATTATTACAGTTGCTAACTTTATTACAATACTTGCAGCACGGTTGCCTCTGCCTTGAATTCGCTGTCCGCTGTTACCTGCGAGGATTTGCTTATCAATGGCATGAACATTAAGATTTCGCCGGAGAAGGGTGCCACCTATGCTAAATGGATGTCCTTAGGTTTTGGTGTGGCCTCTTTCGGCCTGGTCTTCATTGTGGAGCATCTGGGCGGTGTGCTGCAGGTAACTTTAACGCTCAATGGCCTCATTGGAGGCGTTACCTTGGGTCTATTTGTGCTGGGTATTGCCTGCAAGCAGGCAAATACCAAGGGTGCCTTCTATGGTGGATTGTTATCGCTGAGTCTCGTCATATTTGTGGGAGTGGTCGGGCAAATTGGCAATGTGGAAACTCCGCCGTTGCCCACATCAGTGGAGCGCTGTGATTGCCATCTGAATGTGACGGGCATTATCGATGAGTTGCTCACCGAAAGTTTGAGGCCCGTGGAACACGAAGGATTTACGTAAGTGCAAAGTAAAGTGCTAGCTAGAAAATTAGAACTTCCAGAAGTTAGAATTATAAAAAAAAAATGTATTTATGACAACATCATAAAGTGGTACTTTCTTCTACAAATTAGAATTATTTACTTTATGGATTCACTATTTGCAACTGAATGTTCTAATATTCGAGCCACTACTGTACTACTGCACTCACTTGTAGATAAATTACTTAAAATATTATTTATTTCAACAGATCTTTGGCAATTTTCCGGCTGAGTTACATGTGGTTCAGCATGATTGGCTGTTTGTTAACCGTTTTTCTTGGCTGGCTAATATCGATCATCATTGATGCACTGCAGCGGCGCAGAATGCTCAAGATTACGGCCAAGGGCATTGATAATCCGGCCATTTCTGCCGATGTGCTGAAATACGACAGTCCCGTGCAGTTTATCACAGTGATGCCTGTTGAGACGACCAGTGATGAGGGACACGTAAATCTGGCCATACGCATAGACGATGAATACAATACAAAATAGATTTCGCATACGAAATCTGGTGCAAATATATTCCTGGTGTAACTGCAACCACCATTGTACAAAGTTGTCCTAGTTTGTAGTTGAATTCGAGTCGCAATCTTAACTGTCTAAGCTTAGTCGAATGAGTGATTTTTAGTTTGTAAGCCCGAAAGCGGGTCCACATCTAACTGGCTACCCGTAGACAGTATTCTACTAATTAATTAATTATATAATTAATATCTGACCTATGTGAATGTTTATCTGTTTTAGTTTTAGTTTTCACATTATAAACGCTGTTCTTTGCGTTAACAATAAAACTATTTAATGTGTACAATGATTATGGACGGCACTGTGTTGCCAGATCACAGCTTCAGCGGTGTCACGAACCATTTGCTGTTGACGGTGTGGATAACAAACTGAACGAAACGTTGAACAACTTTCAAGTCTGTTTCGTTGAGTTTTATAAGAAATGCATTTTTATTTTATGTGAAATACTTACATTTTAGATGCTCTTCCTTAAATATCAGCATTGTTGTCCTAATTTTTGATGCGTTTACTTGAATTTAAAAGTTCGTATTTCTCAGAGCGCATATTTATAAAAATTAAATGTTTTTTTTATGTGAATTGTTCAAAGACCTTTATTTTGTGTTGGAATTTAAATTCGAAAAAATATGCACACATTAAGTAGAATAATTAATGAATTTGGCTTTATAAGTACGTATAATGATAGTTACGCAAAAATGTACAATTTAAAAATGCTAAACATATATTTACAATATCCTTGCGCATGTCCTGGCAATCACGTTACGCTTATCTCCTCATCGCTGTCCGAATTGGAATCATCGTAGTCATCATAGTACAGCTTCATAAACTCCGCCCCCTGAAACTGGACGGCAGATGTGGCCGTGCCAACTGGCGGCGATTGTTGTTGATGTTGTTGTTGCTGCTGCTGTTGTTGCTGTTGCTGCTGTTGCTGCTGGTGATGATGATGTAGTTGGGCGGCAGCCGCTGCAGCAGCCAACTCCACCTCACGCATGGCTGTAAAATGTGGCGAATGATGCAGTTGCTGCAGTTGCTCGAAGCGACGCTGCTTCGCCTCCTGGATGCTCGTCTCCAGCTTGAACTTGAGATCGACGGCCACCAGCTGCTTCTGCATCTCGGCATTAATCTTTGCCTGAAATTCGGCTGCGCTGGCTACGCCCGGCGGCGACGAGGCTGCCGAGGAGACCGTTGTCGTTGGCGTCGGCGTCGCTGATTGATCGCTCATCTTCAAGCTGGTCAGCAGCGGTGGCGGCGAACTAATTTGCATACCATAACTAATCGCATTCGAGGGCGTTGATGCCCCCTCCATTGGTGAACTGCTGCTTCTGGCAGATTGCGGTGATTTGGGTGCGACAGCTGTCGTTGTTGTTGTTGTTCCTCCTAAGCCTGCGCCCGCGCCCGCTCCAGGCTCATCCTTGGCAGCTGATGTTGGCGGCGGTGGTGAGACGCTACAGCTGGGCGAGAGCAATGATGGCGATAGCGGCGTTAGTGGACGATCGCATTTGGCATCGGATAAATCCGGATTCGGATTGTTCTTGTTGGGCAGCGTCTGGTCGCGTGAGCCACCATTGGCCAACAGTTCGCGCTCCTTGGAGTTACGCCATTTCATGCGGCGATTTTGAAACCAAATTTTTACCTGCAAGTGCAAATGAAATGGGTAAATTGAAATGTGTCCAACAATTGGATTGATGCCTGTCCGTTGCAGCAGCAACTACCACACTTCCCCTCCCCACTTCCCATCAAATGGCCACAACCGACCTAAAAAGTTTTCATGACCACAGGCGCAGATAAATTCATGGTCAAAAACGAACATTTTGGGAAACATTTTTGCTGTAAAAGTTTCTGTGGCAAAAGGCAACCAATTTTAGAACGAGGGGAGGAAGAGAGAGAGAGGGTCTCAAAGAGCTCGGGGGGTTATGGCGTGTGTGTGGGCGTGTTTCGGGGCAAAAGTTTGAACTGCAATGCCAGCAGCAGACGCTGGCCTATCCATAATAAATGCAAATGAGAGACATTTGCTAAAATGGCTACAAATTGATTAGAGGCCGCACAGTGTCGCCAAATGCACTCAAATTGTGTTGAACTTAAGAATATGCTATTTTTGAAATAGTACATCATATAACTATTAATAGCTATTTTAGTATATACTTAAGATCTCAGCCAGGCACAGTTTCCTCGCACTTTTGCCACACTGTACGGTCTAAAAGTTAGTCCAGCAAAAGTGTTGTAAGCTCTCCGCTCACATATGCGTGTGTGTGTGTGTGTGTGCGTGTGTGTGTGTGTGCGTGTGTGTGTGCGTGTGTGTATTTGTGTTTATGTATGACTGCATTTGACAGGGACAGTAAGAGACAAGTAGGACGCAAACACTCAAAAGCAAATTGCAGCCACCCTGGCGTGGGCTGGCAACCCTGTGCCGCTTGCTAACTTTTGCGACTGTTTTTGAGTTATTATTCAATGGGTGTTTACCTCCGTTGTGTTACAGTTGCTGTGTCTCGAACACACAGCAGGGCACTCGCACTCGCTCTTGCGACCCCCAAACAACCATTTGCCACAATTTATAGGGCTGCCATGCCCCAAAATCTAAAACTCTGCCCACCACAAACACGTAATTAGTTCACAATTTTCCTCATTTTTTTTAAAGCAAATTGATGCGTAAAATTGACTTGTAGTCAACGGAATGGAATAAGCCCACACTCGATAACCGATATAATCTGCAGGCATATAAATAAATAAACAACAGCAACACAAGCAGTGCTGTAAAGTGCTGACATGTTAAACAAGCGATTAACCGCAGAGATTTGTGCAGAGCAGAAAAGTCGCCCCAGCCTGTGCATTGGCCACGTGTCGAAGTTTCTCTTCTTTGGTGGGGTTTGCTGTTTTACTTACTTCCGGTCATTGAATTTTCCAGCGTCTAACCCACCCCTCCTCCAACACAATAGCAACAGCGGCAATTGAAATAATAAGCTCAGGCGGCGATAAGATTAATGATTATGGTCCCAACCCGAATCCAGCACAGAACCTTCGTTCTGGTCGTCGTCATCGTCGTCGTCGTCTGTTTTTGATGGAAATTAATTATAAAGCGTGCAGTTTAGTATGCGTCTACGGGTGGGCGCCACTGTCGACTAAAAAGTCGACAAGAAAATGGACCTTAAACTGGACCCACAAACACCATCCCCTCTCCATCGTTTGACAGACCCACCCACCCTCGTCTATGCTATCCGTGCAAGTTTAATGAGCTTGAAATTATGATGTTTGCTTTGGCTTTTAATAGGTTTAATTTGGCTTTGGCATTTAACAGGACAAGGCCTGCATAGAATTAGTTCAAATACAACAAATAGAAAAACCAGTTATTAAATCGCAAATTACAACTGAAATTTGTGATATGTAAATCATATAAATTTTGAGCTGCATTTAATGGAGCTCTTTCATAATTGTACTATTGTCCAATTAGTGACAATCCATACAAATATATATTTACACATATAAATGGGGCTTTTTAGCATGTTTACAAATATTGCGCTTGTTTCTCCTAGCATATTATTAATGTATTACATTAACTTGTTTTTATTGTCATTGTACGAAATTTAATTTATGCACAACTGAAATGTAGTTTTGCTTGTGCTTATTATGGTGTGAATTAGAACTTGTGTAATACGATTTTATCGATTGGCGAGGCTACAAGGTGCAAAAAGATTCTACCTGTCCAACTTTGCATTTTGTTTAAATCTACAAGTCAAAGCATGACCAATGCGGCCTGGATTTTGAAAATCGGTTCAGTTTACTAAGTTATGGTTCTTTTCTATTTTGAAAATCGTGCCAGAATCTCGCATTAATATAAATATCAAACAATTTTCAAAGTTTTACCTAAGTTATGGCAGTTTGTTTTACTTGAAATTGGCGTATGAATTTATTGTTATTCAAAATCGGTGCAGCTCTATTGTTAAAATAGTGTATCAGACAGTCGGTAATACATGTTTCTGATGCTTATATGATTTTTCGCAACTTCTGTAATCAAATCAAGCGCTTAAATGATTCGCATTATTTCGCCCTCGTTCACAAAGGAGTCGACACATTATCCTGAACCAGTTTCAGCCCCCATTGGTAAGTAAGTAACAGATTTTTCTGACACGCCGCCTGCATAACGTGCATAGCATTTGTTTGAAGTTTTTATAAACCCGGGCTGGCGACGAGACCTAAATGGAGTTGAAGTGGGAGGTTGAATGGATGCTGGGATGGAGGATTGCTGGGATTGGTGGGAAATGGTTTGTTCAGTCAGTTTGGCCAACAAATTGCTTTGGCTTTGGCTCCCTTTTGCCGAAAATTGACTTTGGCAATGAGCACAAGCTGTTGTGTTCTGTGGGTGTGTGAGTGTGGGTGAGATTCCAACTACAGAGTTGGGTGTCTGAAGAAGTATTCTGTGTCTGGCAACATATGTTAACTAATGAGGCAGTTGCCTTCGCTCTTTGGCAATGTGGGGGTGAGTTTGTCAAGCGATTGCTTGCCTCGACATGTCATTCGATATGCTGCTTAATAGCGTATTAAATAGTCTGCTACTATTTGCAAAAGTCATTTCGACTCATTTCGTCGACGTTTTGGGTTACCATCAATTTGTTACTCCAGCCATTTTCCTGGCTGTGGTTATTGTTTTAGGACACGCCACCGACTTGGAAGCTGCAACCCCTCCCCTCCCCATCCCTGCCTCTCTCTTCGCCTTTCTCTCTCAATCTGGCTGTAGCATTTATTTAGCAATTTGTCATAAATTTATTTTGTAACCAAAGCTGCAAATGATGGTTTTTAATGTTTCTCAATCGTTTTTGCAAGTCTAGAAATGAAATTCGAGTTATGAACACATTTTGTGATGTTCAAGTGCTTTTTGATTGTCGTTTAATGGAATTAGGCATGTGAACTTAAATGTGAACGAATATTCTTAAGATATCACTATAGTTGAGCTCAATTCACAGCATATATCTTGGGCAACTCGCTTAAAATTGAAAGTATGTGTTTAACAGCTTAAATCACTTGCAGAGCTTTTTACAACGGAAAGCAACGCCCAAAACCATTAAGCTGCTAACAAGAGTCATAAAAAACAAGTTAAACAGACAAAAAGACCAACGCGGAAGTCTGTTATATATATATATATATATATATATATATATATATATCGTAAATATATCGTAAACAATAACCCTCTTATATTTACAGATTATTTATCATACAATTTGATTTAAAGCGTTTTGTCGTTGAAGTAAATAAAAAACAGCAGAATCGAAATGACAAACAAATGAAAATAAAAATCACAAAAATAAAAAAGACCCAAATGTCTGCAGTAAACCACCCCACGTACATGCACCCACCCCCAATCCCTCACACACACACACACACCCACACACACACACACACACATACAAAGCGAGGCAGACAAATGAAATAAAGATAAAAATATTTATAACGTGCAAAATGCCAAAAGTGCCCAAAAGAGTCGAGTGTACCAAATGCTGAAGCACACAGAATTTTCACAGTTGATTGCAAGGATTTTCCCGCTGTCTCTCTGTTAGTATATATTTCTTTTTTTCTGTTTCCCATTTGCCGGGGCGCTTTCCCCCATTTTTCGACAAATCAAAAACAGACGAATTTGTTTTGGACATGACACTTAAAAAGTTGCTGCCGGCTCTGCACAACACTGACACGTGTGTGTGTGTATGTCATTGTGAGTGTGTGTGCGAGTGTGGGTGTGTGAGTGTGTGTGTGTGTCTGTGTCTGCGGGAGGGTTGTTTAAGCGGTAACTCGTTTATCGCGATTCCTTGAGCTTTGCTTTGCGCATTGATTTAAAAATGCAAATCAGTTTATAGAATTTGGACTCAAGATGTTTTCATTTCCGCTTTCTGTATTTGGCAGGCGGTGGTTCAACATCGCTTTTGTTGTTGTTGTTGTCGTTTTCTGGCGGTTTGGCGTTTGAAGTGTCATTAATGGCAATTAAATTTATAGCTGGCAGATTATGAGGCTGGTAACTGTCACTTGCAGTCTACAGCTGACTGTGGGAACTGAACGAATTTCGAATCTAAAAATCCATAATACGGCTGATCTATACTCCATAAGAGCACATAATCAACACAATGCACGTGACTTGCATGCGGTATTAACAAAAAATAACAACAACAATCAAGAAACAATAAAAACGCACATAAATCGCGCGACAATAAACGCTGTCGCGTTTTTAAGTGACCCTTTGGCGGTGCAGATTTTTCGAGTGCGTTTGTAAAAATCGCAATAAACGTTGCAATGAACAACACTCGAAATGATGAATCACCTGAGCGGTTTGCCATCAATGCAACCGTTTGTCAACCGCAAGGCACGCGACGCCGCTGCACCCATTGCACTGCCTCTATATTTATGGCGGCGAATGTGAGTTTGAGTGTGTGTTGCAAAAGTGGGCAGCGTGCAGCAAATGAACAACAGCAAATGTCCAACAAAAAGTGCAGTTCGACAAAGGAGACGAGGAGCAGCTCTTAAATCATATTGCATACAACTAGGCGCCAGGACACGCGCTGCAATGCAATCCTTGCACACACAAACATACACAAACACACACACACTCCAACTCCACCTTTGTGGATGGGTGTGCATGTGTGAGTGTCACTTGGGTGTGAATATCCGCACTCGTTGGCACAACCACAAATTCCCCCAGACCAGCCACTCCCTGGCCACATAGCCGTTAATGGAGCCGGTGTCGCCATCGCCGCCGGCTGGACAACACTTTTGTCCTTTGTTCAGGCGTGTGGGTGGAAGGACCAAAGCCAGAGCTGGACCTTGGGACCAACTGCTGCGATTTGACTGTGAGTTTTTCTGACATTTTTGCACATTTTTTGTTAAAAAGTGTTCCATGGCTTTGTTTTTGACGCCATCCCGTCGACATTTTCATTTTCCCATTTGACAAAGTGCAATTGATGAATGCTTTGATTCTCTCTCTCTCTGCCTCTGTCTCTCTCTCTCTCTCTTTCTCTATTTTTTTCTCTCTCTTTTATTTCACACACATACTAGGTTTAAAGTTAAATCTGCTGCTGTGATGTGGCTTTGTACACATTTTTTGTACTTCAAAGATTTATGGCTTGGGAGTGGGCAATAATCATAAAATAATAGTAAGACCCAGAGCTATACATAGAAAATGGAAAATGCATAGCACTGAATGCTGGAAAACTTCAAGCCTGGTATAGATTAAACTTATGTAACAAATTTTCCATGAATCTTACTCCGATTATCTTTAATAGAAAAGTTTCCTTAATAATAGCTTGCTGAGTTAATTATAGGGTAAATTAAGATTTTAAGCATGTGAATGGTGTGAATTAATCATAGATCTGATTTTCTTTAAATACATATATCCACACTGCTCTATGTGCTTTAGATAATATCTGTTACCTCATCAAATACCATGTAACTTTACATATTACGTCCACAATTTTGTAATTACACACTTGTTAATTGAAAACAAATGATTAACTAACCGGCTAGATAAGTATATATCTTTATAATCACACACATAAATGTATAGAATTACCGGCAATACCTTTCAATGGGAATTGGGACCAGTTCAATAATGCACAACTTGGCACATGTGTGTTCTTTCGTCATCTGACTGGGCATTATATGATCATTAAGGAGAATATGATCGATCGGCAGAGTGTAAAAAAAGGGGCGTGACGCCTCTTCCACTGCGTTGATAATGCTGATGTTGATGCTGATGATGAATTCATGCATCTCTTCGCTCGCTGACAAATGCAACTGGACACGCTTATTGCGTAATTATGAAATTTTTATGAATTATATGCAGTTCGGCAGCAGAAAGCAAGGGAATACAAAGCGACAAAAAAAGAGCTGCACTAATTTGGCATGGGATGATTGTCAGCATCATCATTTGCCGACGGCTGTTACATACCTCTGTCCCCCCGCTCGTTTTGCCGCTCACCGTCGGCTGCTGACAAGGCGTAGTTGGCCCATTGATTGAGTTGTGATCGATTACATTTTGACAAGGCCAAATTGGTCATGCCAATTTTTGCAGCAGCCGCAGTCATGTGAAAATTTCACTCGGAAAATGTGTCCCAATACTTTCATTCTATCTCTTTAATTTTCTTTTGAGAAAATGAAATTTACAAAAAAAGTAACGCTTTTTTTGAAGTACGTCTAAAGTATTTGTGTAACATGAATCATTTCTTAAATTTTTGGCAGCACAAGGGAATACGGAGAAGCTCTTTTCATTTCTTGAGACACTTTCAACGTTTTTACCAAAATGAAAGAGAATAAAATGGAATTAATTTAATTATGCCGTCACAGCACAATCAATAAAAGCCAACTTACCCCACCACACGAACCATTCCACCTGCCACCTCGTTTGCATGGGAAGCCGAAATGAATTTCTTATGGCTCGTTATAATTTCATTATATGTATTTCGATGGCAACAACAAGCGACCTCTATATATATATGTATGTACATACGGCCAAGACAAGCGACTGCGCATTTAAGGGAAGCACGCCCAGACCCCATACCCCCATCCACTGCCACCCCGCCCCCTTGTGCGACCTGTTATACTTGTGCTGGCTTCCATTTTGCTCTGCGCAGCCATTGCTGAGAGCTTTTTGGGTTTTTGTGCATTTTAAGGGCGGAGTTTTATTTTGCGCTGCTTTATGGTTTTTATTTTATATGGCGTCGCTTTTGTTGTTGTGTTCTACTTATTATTATTATTTTTATTATTATTGTTGTTGTTGTTGTTTGCTGTTGCTTATCAAAGCTGATTTGAAAAGTTTTTAAAAATGTTTATGCGCGGTAAAAAATATATTTTATAATAGCATAATTTTAAGTTTATTATGAGCTCGTCTCAGAGGAGTTTATTGATTTTGTTCTTGTTTATGGCTGTCGGATTGGTTACACCCAATTGGCCCAGATTGGCCGAAAGTTTTGGTTCAAAAGATGACTTGAGGTGAATTTTAAATTAGCCACCTAATTGAAAGCTTCCGAGATGGGTAATTGAAAGTATAATACAAGAGTTGACATAAAAAAATACTTTAATTTAAGTTAAGTGCGGTATGAAATTAGATGCCAAGCCTTGATCAAATTCGTTAAGTTAAGGTTAACTCGTTAAAATAAAGCTTTGAGGACGATATATGTATAGTGGATTTTTGGATCCGAATTTTTACAAAAGGTTGATGGATTTTTGAATAACTTAACCCCAAGCTATACACTTCAACTCAACTCACCTGAGAATCTTTTAGGCCCAATCTTTCAGCCAGCTTCTTGCGATCTGGCTTGCTGATATATTTCTGTTGCTGGAAACGCTTCTCCAGCCCCTTGCGCTGTGAGTCTGCAATGAGAGAGAGAGAGAGAGAGGGAGCAACAGTTTTAAATGCAGTTAAGCCAGAAGGACAAGTACCCAAACCACAGTGCACCACACTCTATACGAACCTGAGAAGACGGCACGCCGCATCATGCCTCTGCGTGGCTTGCCACGTGTCGAATGCGCCCAGGGGAAGCCCTGACCAGGGGGAAGGGGAAACACTTGGGCACCAACTGCAATTAAACATATTGGGGAAAAGTGCATTAGTCAAGCGGGAGAGGAGAGAGTGGAGAGGAGAGCGTAGTCATTTGGGGATTGGTCGGCAAACACTTGTTAATGAGCGCCATGGGGTGCCCAAGAGGCAGTTGGGCAGTAATTACGTGGCCATAGATTAGAATGTAAAGAGGTCAGAGGTCAGGGTACTCACCACTCATGTAGGGATTGCGACAGTGCGCCAGTAGCGAATGCAAATGCGGATGATTCAGTGTGTGTGGCAGAAAGGGTGTTGGCCGACTGGGCATGGGTTTGGCAATCACCGGATGTATGGGCGGTGGCGGGGGTGGTGGTGTCGGATGCGATGTTGCCCCTGTTGCTTGTCCACTCAACAGTTGTTGCTGTTGCTGTTGCTGCTGCTGTTGTTGTTGCTGCTGCAGCTTTTCTTGCGTTAATCTTCGATTGTTGTTGTCCTCGTTGGTATCGTTGCCGATTTCATGCGGTCGACCATCGAGCAGAGCATTGTTGTTGTTGTTATTCGAGTTGCTATTGCTGTTGCTGTGATTGTTGTCGCTATCACTAATTGTGCTGCCAGGTGACGACGAGGATGCGGCCGTCGTTGCTGTGGTTTGCGGTTGACAACTATTGCCATGGTGCTGCTGCTGTTGTTGCTGTTGATGTTGCTGCTGCTGATGCGTTAGAAATGCGGGATGTGGAAAATGTGCATGGGCATGGTGATGCAGTGGGTGTGACAGTCCAAGTGCCGCCTGCCCCACCAATGCCGGATGGTGTTGCTGATGGTGTGAATGATGATGATGATGTGGTGGTGGCGGCTGTTGTTGCTGCTGTTGTTGCTGCTGCTGTGCATGATGATGGTGCTGATGATATTGATGTGTGTGATGTTGCATAAAGTTTTGTTGTAGATAAGGCCATATATGCTGCGGTTGCATAAACTCTGTAAAAGAAAGAAAAACAAGTGTGAAAAATCGGTTGTAAAGTTTAGAAGCAATAGTTTTTCGAGTAGGAAAACTTTTGGGAAAGTGAAAACATGTTTTAAATTAAGAAATTTTAAGTTCTTGCAAGAAAATGATTACTTCGTGATCTTTATTAATGATAGTTGACTATCTTTTACAACACAATCTATATTTCCATATAATTTCTATCTACTTCAATATAAATATTCTTATCAGTTTCAAAATCCATACTTAAACATATTAATCAATTAAACATCAATAAATTAACATTAAAAATCAACTTGTTTAACAAAGTGCGCCTTGCCAGCCCCAGACTCATATAAAATACCACATTTGAAATCTCATAAGTCTCATTTAAAGATCAGATAAAATCTTATCCAAGACTTATGACCACGCTAAAGTGTCTGGTTCGTAAGCCTATCAAAGTGAACTTCAAAACAAACCCCATAAGCGTGAATGAGCACGCACACACTCACATATTATCAGACTCGAATATCTTGTCAAGAAGCCAACCCTTCATGCGTGGGTGTGTGTCTCTGTATGTGTGTGTGCTTGTGTGTGTGTCTTGACTCCATAGCAGATGCTGCTTTGAAGTGTCAAACTGGCATAATTAAACAGCTCGCAGCTTCCAATTCTAGCAAGCTTCCTTTCTCCTTACACAGATGCCAACACATTTAAAAGTTTCAACACACACACACACACACACCTTGAGAGCAGACACCGTCAACGCCTTCATTTTGTGATTTCAGTTCATGTGGAAAGCAAACAAAACTTTTGCGCCTTTAATTGTAGAGTAAGGAACGAGGGTGGTTGGGAGCCTGAGGAACGATTTTGGCGCTTTGTGGCTGCATTTCAAAATCTAATTAAACACCGAAAAACAGCAGACGCCATTCGCACACACACACACACTAAAGCACACAAAAGCACACACACTGACAGGCGCTGCAGGATATGATTTTAATTCGATTAGAGTGACTGAAACAATTAACGTATTAACGCCTCTTTAGTTCGCTATATATATATGTGTGTGTGTGTGTATTGTGTGTGGGTTTAATTTGCTGAAATCTTGTGGCGAAAGTTTTTGTGTGTGCGAGTGTGTGTGAGCCACATGTGTGCCTAATGACCGCACAAATTAAGTTATAATTGTTCGCATTGTTTGTTTGGGCTTTCGATGGTTTTACGCCAGTTTTTGCATCTGTGCCATGGCAAATGCCTAAAATTGTAGTTGGCAAAAAGTTGGTCGAATCGGTTTGGTGACACAAAAAGTTAATTTGTGGCTATACTAAAAGTAATTCAACTGACAAATCATTTATACTCAATTAGCTGCCAGGTCAGTTATTTATGTAATAAGATGGCAACAAAATATCGAAAGTTATGCAATCGAGCATACAAAGATTGCAGCACTCAAAAACATATCAATTCTAAGTGTAATTACGATCAAGAAAAAGTCATCTAAGTGCGCTTTAAATATTTCTAATTGTTGTCTTTTCTTTCAGATAAGTCGTCTACAATGTTGTTTTTCTTAATAATCTTTGTATTTTGCATTTTTAAAAGAATTTCAGCACCATTTTGCAAACGTTAAGAGCTAACATTTTATCATTTTATTGTATTTATAGAAAACACAATTCTTTTGTGATTTTCTGTTATTTAATTCATGCGGAGATATTTATAAATATCTCCCTTTTTCTAGAATTAGTAATTGTTACATCTTCAACTGTTTTTTTATTTATCCACAGCTCTATTCCGTTTTTAAGAACCATTATCATCTTTAGAAGTATGCCTAACTTTAACATTATTTTACATTTTTATACATTTACGGTACATCCATTTATGATCTTTCTACCCACAACTCGCATTCGTTTTTAATCCTTGGAACGCTTCTGTCATTTTATCCCCAAAAGAAGAAAAATTGCCACATAAAATCGCATAAAAAATACTGATAAAACACAATAAAAAAGAGTCAGCCCACACATTAATAATAAACGGCACATTACAAATCCCACAAGCTGGAAAACAAAGCCAAAAAACCGAAGAATTTGCCAATTCACATGCCAAAAAACATTGAATGAAATGCGGCGCAGTTATAATGACTGATAGACAATTAGACACGCCTACTTTTTTATTTGTTCGAGGCAACTCAAAAAAAAAGAAACAAAAAACAACGCAATGTGAACCCTCGTTCTGGTAAGCAGCACGCGCAGCCGCAAAAGGACGAGGACGAGCAAGGATGTAGAAAAGCAGAGTGCGGAACTCGGAACTGGTTTATACGCATTTGGTTCTGGTGGCGGCTACCGACGGATTTGCTGAGGCTCAGATACAATAATTTAAACATGATTAGGTGTGGTTGTGTTTTTACAGCCGTTGCAAGGACGTTGCCTCAAGGGCTTAAAGAGCACAATAAAATAGATAGATATTAAAAAAAAAGAGGAGAGCTGATCCCCGTGGCACAGCGAAAGCGTTGCGATCCTTTTTGAGCAACTGATTTTCATTTCTATCTATGGCAAAATTGTTATTCTTTCGTCTTTTCATATTGCAATTGTATTTATATTTTTGTTGATGTTGTTGTTGTTTGGCATTAGCCACGGCAAATTAATTGCCAAGCCGCGTTGATTACCACTTTTTGCCCTTACCGTTTCGAACGCGGACTCCTTCGCGTGTGTCACCGAGGATGGCGGATACGCTGAACTTAAGTATGGGCTTGCTGTTGTTATCCTTGAGTATGGTGGTGCCGCCGGTGGTGCTGTTATTGCTGATGCTGCTCTCTTTGGGCTCAACTTTGGGCAATTTGATTGCCTCACGCTCCAGCTCATCGTCCAGCTCCTCCTCATCCAAATGCGGTGTCTCCACACTATCGATGTCCGCAACAATTTCATCCTCATCCTCATCGTCCTCGTCATCGTCCAATTCCATCTCCTCAATGCTGTCAACACTTTCCGCACGATTCTCACGGCACTTATCACATTTATAGCCACGTTTGGCACAGTTGCAATTGCACAAAAGCTCCGAGGAGGAGGAGCGCTCCTCCGCCGCCGGTTCGCCCGGGCCACGACTCAACAGCATCTCGCTGAGGCTCGACTTTAGCTGACTCTCACTGTAGCTCTGGGCGCGCTGGGCATGCAGTAAGCTGTCCACGAGAAAGGCCGTCGACATCACGTGCCGTTCGCTGCTTTAGCTGCTTTGCTCTACTCTTGTCACAATGTGTCTATATGTGCTTGGCCAGTGCTGTGCGCGCCACGTAACCGTCGAGTGCTCGATTCGTACTGAATCAGCCAGCATCAGCTTTTTGTCTCTGGCTGCTGTAGCTGCTGCTACTGCTGCTGCTCCTGCCTGGCGCCGCAGCAGCGCCACAATTTAGGGGTTGCTCTACGGTGGTTGGTCTGTTTCTCCTGCCCAGTCGCTGCTCGCAACTCGGTGCAATGTCTATGTATGTGGCACGTGACGGCCTCCTTATGTGTATATATGTGTATATGTGTAATTTCGACTCTTAACTCTCTTTGTATGTGCTTTTGTGTCCTGTGGCGCCTTTGCTCTGCTCTGCTCGCTTGTCCTGTTATTGTTGTTCGCTTTTTATTTGATTTTATTTGTGTGAAAACAATAAAAATTTAATTTTCTTGTTTTGTTGCTTGCCTCCCTTGAACTGCTCTCGTGTTTGGATGTTTGTTATTCTTTTTTTTTTGTTTTATTGTTTTTGTTGCCTCCATTTTGTTATTGCCGTCCTGCTTGTGCATTCTTGGGTTGATCCTCTTTTCGGCGCACAGTGGTTTGAATCTGTGACTCAAGCTTCTGATTAAGTAGTGCTATATATTCATATAAATATCCTTTGTGCATCTTTTACACTGAAAACAAGTTCCTAAAATGTATCATTGATATAATTATGAATTATACAAACATTCTATTTTATGAACATTTCCATTTTCAAACGAATTCTACGAGATCATTTCAAAAATATTCTGAACTTTCAATAGAGCTTAAACTGAAACATTCGTCTAATTTTATAAAATCAATCAAAGAGATTTTTTTACACAATTTAATAATATCTGAAATGATTTCTTCATTTTCTGTACTTTTTTTATCAACACCAACTCAGTATTTCAGTACTTTGATTCACTAAATTGTTAATAGGAGTTGTTGCAAGTTTTCCATATGAAGTATGCTAAATCATTTAGCTAAACATCCTTAACCAGATGTGGTAGCATGTACACACGCAATTTGTTGCAGCAGGGACAGCGTTTTGGCAGAATAAGCCAAAGCCAGGAGTCAGTAGATTAACTTTTATTATGACCGCAAATTAGTTGTCCTCGGCGCGTTGATGACGACAATCGACAATGATGACTTATTTACTAGACTGGGAGCCAGCAGCAGCAGCAGCAGCAACAACAACAACAACATCAACAGCATTTCGCGAGTACATAGAACAGAGTTGGCCAAGGCACAGAGTTCTCGTCCTGCTCTGCTTCAATTTGGTTTATATAAGCTTAGAAACTGGCTGTGCTTGTCCTTTTGACTTTTATGTGTGCGCCACTCTATTTGCACAATACACGCGCAAGCCTAGAGCTCACACACACAAGCACATACACACACACACACAAACACACACACACACAGACATACACAGACATACACATGCATAAGCAGAGAGCCATAGAGAAAAGCAACCCTTGTTGTGGCTTTCGGTGAGCAGCAAACGAAAAGTGCAAGTGGTCGTCTTTGTGTCCCCCTGCCACGTTTTGTGGGCGTGGCCTCAATCGAATTGGAAACTCATCATCAGCAGCGAGGAGCACTCTCAGTGCCAACAATAAGAATAAGGATAACAAAGCACAGTCATATATGTAAGTAGTTTATGCTGTGTGTGTGTGTGTGTTATCCTGATATTGTTTAGCCAGCCTTTTTGCTCTGCCATTTGTGGGTTTTTGCTTTCAAAAGGATTACTCCGTCTGCTGCTGCTGCTGCTGCTGCTGCCCTTCTGCTGCTGCTGCCAGCGAGTACATAAAACATGCTCATATAAGCGTATAAATATGTGATAATAATGATTAAAAGTTCTCATCATGCCAAGCCATCATCATTTATGCAAAGGATTTCCACCATACGCCCTGTATACGTATCTCTCTGTGCTTGTTTGTGTTTGGCTGTGTGTGTGTGTGTGTGTGTGTGTGTCTGTCTTTACATTTTTATTTGGCACCAAAGCTATGCGACGGATGCTGCTTGTCTATGTGGGTGGCTCGATTCTTATGTTTTTTTTTATTTTTTACTAGAGCTCTTTGTGATTGCGCTTAAGCAGAGATGATTTCAATTTTCCGGAATTTGGTACTTTGCCAGTTGGCACTGTGAATCCTTCACTCTGTGTGCAGATGTGTGTTTGTGTGTGTGTGAATTTCTCTTTGTTGCGTGCAATAATATGAGGACAATCATTTGATAAGTGGGTTGAATATGCAGAGCCACAGTTGCTCCTGTCGCGCTCCTTGACAAATGAAAGGGGTCACAATTCACATTCTGTTTTACTGCCACCGAAAGCCAATCCCAATCCCAATCCCAAACCGAAACCACAAATCCACATCCAGGCAAAGTGTTAGAGACAAACTTTTAATTGTTTTTTTCGGCGCACATTTGAGTTGTTCTTGTCGTTTTTATTGTTGGTGGCAAAGTGTTTGCTGAATTGGAAATATGTAAATGATTTGAGTTTTGTGTGCTCTACTTTAAATATCTATTCAGCCCTTTGGCTTTTGTTGACGCCTTTGTGTAGGTGACTTCGTCTATCTGTGCTGCCTATTGTTGCCATTTTTTGGTTATATGGGCTTTTTGGCATAAGATCAAAGCTTTGGCAACAACTTGAATATGTCATCTTTATGAATTGTATAGAATATTATGTGTGCTATTTATTAAGAGGCATAACTATGTTGAAACTCATTGGAATAGCATGTGGGATACAGTTTATTATTCAGTTTAGTCTTGTAAATTTAATTTATTTATGAAGATGAGTTGAAGTTTAGGTAAACATTTGACTTGTAAGGCTGTCAAATTTATAGTACATTTTCATTATCAATCTTCTAACTTCCACAACTTTGTAAAACTTAAAATATACTTTCGTCTTGTATTCAAATTTGTGTTCTGAGATATTTAAAAAGGCAAATATTTTGAGGGATAAAGTTTTCAAATGCAAAGTATAATTTTATTATTAATCTCTTTGAATCACATTAAATGTGATTCATTGTATTACTATTAATATTATGCTGGAATAATGCTTTTCTCTTGACATTTTATAATATCTATGCATATCACCCTTCAAATACTTTGAATAAGCACACATGTCTTCATGTTAATACCTATTTCAGGTAAGCAAAATCGAAGACATCTCTGTAGCCTGAACTTGTTCAAAGAATTTTTTAACTCAGTGGCTGCCGGCGGTGGGATAAGATGCCAATCCAGCTGATGGCGACGGAGTCTTGTACAACTTCATGGCAATGGAATGGAACTGACAGCCACATCATTATATGGATATCATTATCCTGTACTCGTATCGTGTGTGTATCGGCATGAGTATGACTACAATGGATGCCGATTGCACGCAGAGTGAGAGAGACCAAAAAAAAAAGAAAAAAAAATACATATATATAAATAAATGAAACGAGAGGTAAAATGTCACAAGATGCTGCACGCGGGTGTATCATCTGAGAAGGGGAGGGAAGCGGGATATATATGTTTGGTTGAGGGCGTGGATGGGCAATATAATAAAGCGCAAACATTTATACACGACACTCGATGTGGATAACGATATAAGTAGAGAATAGCTGAACAGAGCAGTTCATGAGCCACGACAACCGCCGCCAAGTCAACTGTCGATATCAGCTGCTACACGATGCATTCCCCCTACCTTATGCCACTCCCCCCTCCCACTCCCAAATAACACCCACCCATGAAATGAATGCGAATTCTGTTTGCTATCGATTTTCAGCATAACGTTTATTATTTTTATTATATGGCAAATACGTAGGGTGGATGGCAAATTATGGGCTTTTCATAACGTTAACAGTCGCATAAATACGCTCTTTGTGTCAACCAAGTAGAAAAAATGCGATAAAAGATTATAAAGTGTGTGTTGGTTGGTTGCGACGTTCTGGCTGCTGGATTCACAGGATTCGATGTGGATTCTCTCCAGGCACAGCTTTTGCACAGCCTGCCAGGCTGCTGGCTGTTGGGCAGCCTGTGAGTGGGAGTGGTAAGGGGCGGGGCGGGGCTACTCGCTTGGCGGTGACATCTGTTTCCGACATCTTTTAATAAAATTTTCATCTTTATTACGAAACGATTGTTTTATGTGGCCCGGCGCACATTTCCCAGCAGCTCGCAGTCACTACTTAAACTAGACGTGTCCTGCCACGCTGGCAGGAAGTCCTTCTGTGGCTCGCGCTGCCAGCTCAAGCTCTGTTCCCCTCACTCTCCCCCCTCTCTCGCTTCCTCTCTCTCTGCTGAGCCGCTGTCTAAGAGGAAGTAATTAGAATGAAGCGATTTTTAGTTGCCACCCAGCGTCGCAAAAGTTCTGCAAGTTTTTCTTTCGATTTTTTTCATTATTATTATTTTTTTATTTCAGTAAAGTTTTTTGCAAAACGGCGGCAAGTTCATGGCTTCACTCCATGAAAATTTAATTTGATTTAATTTTCATTTTCATAACACACACTTTTTATGCACAAATGTATGTGTTAAATTTATGAAAAGTGGACAATAAACAGGCGCTTATATTGAAATACGTGCGCATTTAATTGCTTTATTTACGAAAATTGCACAATGCACATTAATGTTTATTTATGGCTTGTGTGTGTGGTTGCGATTGTGGCTTCCGAAGTGGTTTTGTATAATATTTAAAGTGATGTCAATATGCTTATGTGGTCAGCTGAGCGGCATACTTGTGCGATCAGTGAATAATGACAATGACTATACAATTGCCAAGCTTTAAAAAATAAATTAAGTTATAAGTAAACAATTATTTCAATAAACTGAGATCATCAAGCTGTAATAAATGAATAGCTAATTAAATATTTATTTGTTTAATTACTACTATTATTAGCTAAATCAGAAAAAATATAACTTAAACAGGCACCAAATGCATTTAATGAATTTTAGCAAAGTGTTAAAGGTTCCTTATGCATATTAAAGGTTTTCATTAACAGTATTTAT